CCCTTAACTATCTCACCCACCAGTCCATAGGGTAAACTGCCGGCAGCCACATTTGTTCCAAATGACCCTGTTCCCTTAGTCACAATTATTTGAAGGGAGAGTCACCACACCTCTCCCAAGCTAGGCCAGTAAAAACTCCCCCTATGAGGGCTTGGAAACTGTATTGAGAAAAAGAGTCACAGAATTTTAATATGTGAACTCAAAACCATGGATAGATGTGGTAGAATTGTACTTACCTGTCCCCTTGAATCTGGGCATAACCACAAGACTTGCTTAGTCCCGTGAAATATGAATGGAAATGATCCATGTGAAAATTCTGGGTGGAAGCTTTAAAAGTCAATGTGCTTTTCAACAAATGGTGATGGGACAACAGTATCAAGAATGAAGTTGAGCCTCTACCTCACATCATATACTCAAATTACCTCAAACTGGATAAAAGACCCAAATTTAAGAGTTAAACTATAAAACTCTTAGAAGAATACATAGGTATAAATCTGTATGAGCTTGGATTAGGCGATGGATTTTTAGATATGATACTAAAATCACAAGCAACCAAAAAAACCAAAAAACCACATAAACTGGACTTCACAAAAATTCAGAACTTCTGTGTAGAAGAACACTATCCAAAAAATGAAAAGACAAATCACAGAACAAAATATTTGCAAATCACATATCTGATAAAGATCTAGTAAGAAAACCAAATTTTAAAATGAGCAAAAGCTTTGTGTGGGTCAAGATGGCCAGGGGGAGACCAATGTTAGTTCTAGCTAAATAATTACCAGCTTGATTGGCTCACAGTACACTGAAGTTTATACACTGAACTAAACTATATTGTTGGTGCAGTTAATTAGAAATCAAGTGGCAACAGGAAGTCTAAGGTAAAGACCATCTGAGAGCACAGTAACACCAGGGAACACCTTGGGGTGGCTGCAGAGCAGAGAATACTGCTCTGGTCCCACAAATGCCTTCTCAACATGGAGTCTGCAAGAGGGCCTCGTAAAGAGGGCTTACGCAAGGATCTCTGAGAAGGGAGGCAACCTCTGCTCACAAAATCTGGGAGGGTCTTTGCAGATGGGAACTGGCAAGGAGGAGAAAAGCCTTGCAGGGCAGAAATCACGGAACATCTCAGGCTCTGCCTAGGTTCTCAGAATATGGAGTGATTTTAATAGCTCTACGTCCTCAATGCTTGGGAGATAAAAGCCCCTTGATGCATTGGGAGTGGCCAGACCAGGTGGCTCCTCATCTGCTATACTTCTGATGCAGCAACACCCTGATAACAATCAGTGATAAACTCAGAGTACTAGTTTAGCATATCTTAGAAGGATCTAAAGTGCTGTTGGATGCTCAGAGTACTAGTTTAGCATGTTTTAGAAGGGTCCCTAGTGCTTTCCACCCGGCTATCTTACCTACACCTTTACTCTCCCCTTCCACACCCATAAGATCAATGAGATTGTGCAGGTAATAAAAGTGTTTGGAGCCCAGAGCTTGAGGCCAACACATTTTCCACACTTGCGTTGGTCCCCAGGACCCATGCTGTAACTTCCATTCTGGAGTCTCTGTCTCTATTTCCCTTTCTCAAACCCTTGTCACCGCTGGGACTAAGGGCACCCACAAACGGGTTGGGCTGGTTCACAACAGATTTGAATAGCTTTTTCTCTCCAAAGAACATATATAAATGGTCAATAAGTATATGAAAAAATGCTCAACACCATTAGCCATTAGAAAAATACAAATCAGGCCAGGTATGATGGCTCACACCTGTAATCCCAGCACTTTGGGAGGCCGAGGCAGTGGCATCACCCGAGGTCAGGAGTTTGATACCAGCCTGGCCAACATGGTGAAACCTTGTCTCTACTAAAAATACAAAAATTAGCTGGGCGCAGTGGTATATGCCTGTAATCCCACTACTCGGGAGGCTGAGGCAGGAGAATCGCTTAAACCTGGGAGGGGGGGGTTGCAGTGAGCCGAGATCACACTGCAGCACTGTAGTCTGGGTGACAGAACGAGATTTCACCTCAAAAAAAGTAAAAGCAAGAAAGGAAAAGAAAAATACAAATCAACCATGACGGGATACCATTCATTATTTTGTATTTTAATACGAAGTAAATTTTGTATTAAAGGCAAAATTATAGCTATAAATAGGTCAGTGTTTGCCTGGGCCTTGGAGGTTCAGTTCAGAGATTGACAGCAAAAGGACAAGAGGGAACTTTCTGAAGTGACAGATGTGTTAGAAAACTGGATGGTGGTGATGGCTGCACAAAAGTATACAGTCACTAAATGTAGACCTGTGTTTTAAAAGGAGTAAATTTAATGGTATTTAAATTACACCTCAATAAAAGCATTATCATTTTTTAAGCCACTATGCAATTTGCCGAACTTCTTTCTCTTTGCCATGGCAATGAGTATCACCGCAGATGGTGAGGGTCCAGTGGCCTCCACAGTGCAGAACAGAGTTCGCTACTGACCAAAAATGCACACGTAGAGTGAGCAAGAAAGAAACTGTTACTTTAAGCTGGTGAGACGCGCGGGGCTGTTTGTTACTGTGGCAAATCCTAGCCCATTCTAATTAATACAGAAATCAGTTCGAGATGGTATTAGCTCAAGTTAATATTAAGTTTCATTAATTAAGGCAACAGGAATGAGTAATGTCTTAGACATACTGTGGTGTAGTTATTTGGGATTTGATACTGTATCAAATAGACTAAATTTTTTAGAGAATTGTACTGAAGAACCACCTGCACTGAAAAAGACTGTGACTTTTTGAGACTTAAAATGATCCTTTGGCTCCAGTGTGAGGCAGGAACAGTTGAGAAAGTTGCTCTGTTCCTGGAGAGGGCAATTTCTTTGACAGTCTCTTCAGATATGGCCAAGAAAAATTACAGAAAATAAAACATCTCAGAAAGTGAACCCAGGTGTCACAGAGACCAGTGAACAAGAGCACTACTCCAGGAAATGGACTCAAGGCCCAATCAAAGAACATTTTCTATTCTCAAGATATGGAAGCTCAAAACATGAGATTTCAGAATCATTACAGCAGACCAGTGTTCACTGTGGTATCCCATGCTTCACTTCTCTCCTTCTAAGTGGGAGAGTTCATTGTGTTTATCCCACTTCTGTTCAACCAGAAAGAGAGTCATTTGTGCTGTTCATCATCTACTTCTGGTGCTTCTTCCAGATACATTAGGGTTGTACTTTCCTGCTCAGTTGAAGTTAGGTAAAGCTGTGTGATTTGCTTTGGATGTGAAATACGTGTCACTTCCAGGTGGAAGCTGTATGACTGAGACAGCCAGTAAAAAGGGATCCCTGGAGAACCTCCGACTGGCCTGAGCACTGGGAGGAGTGTGCGCTGGGGTGGAGCCTCGGAAGTTCACACCGTTTGCGGTGGGGAGGAGCCTGGACTCTCCTGTTCTGGGGTGGTACACGGGACTCAATCTGTGAGGTGGGAAGCCTACTAGCAGGACTCTCACTTTGCTGAGAATCCCTGTTTCCCACTTTTTTTCTTTTTCACCCAATAATCCCTGCCCTTGTTACCCTCCAAACTGTCTGCGAGCCTAATCTTTCATGATCATGTAACAAGAACCCAGCTGTTAACAGAACTGAGGAGGAAGTCCCACAAGACCATTTTACATACACCATGCCTCTTTCCTCTTCTCATTCCGGATAACGGAGTCTCTGGCAATCCAGGGCCCTGTGTAAGGCTAAGATGGAGTTCATCCCTCACTGGCCTGAAATAGAGACGGATCATGAGAGGAAAATTAGCCTTTGCTGTGTGGACATATTCCTCCCATCAAGTCTCTTAAGGAAGCACAGGAGAGACAGAATAAATACTCTCCAAGTCTCTAAGGCTTTTCTATTCTGAATTGACATACTTCCTGAGTACCTCCCACATTCTTGCCCCTGAATTCCACAGACACCCTTTATCCATTTACTAGACAGCTGCTCAAGTTTTTGTTTTTAAACTAGCTTGAGTTGCTTACACCGAGTTGTAATTGATGCCTTTGTAAATCTATAAAGCTCCTCATGCCAAAGAACAAAGAAAAGACAAACAGGAAAGCATGGAACACATTGGGAGAGTCATAGTGGACCCAGCCCAAGTGGGGATGTGGCAGAGACAAGCCAACTGTTCACCATACCCATTGCCTCTTTTTTCCTGAGCCCATGGCTAGACCATTTCTCTGCCTCTTTTGTCATGAAGTAAAGCAGTGACTGAATTCTAGCTAACGGAACTTAACAGATATGTACCATCTCCCTCACACATCCCTCCATGCTTTGTCCCCTTCAATAGCTTGATGCAAAAGACCACAGTGGCCTCAGCAGATGTGTGATGAAAGCAGAGCTGCAAGATTGAAGGAACCTCGATTACTGAATCACATCGTGAAAAGCCACCCACTGACAGAAACAACTAGTTTGTGACGGACATGTTTGCCCTAACTCACACAGGGGAGGAGGGGAAGGATTTCATGTTGGATTCGCCCTTTGTGGTCTTGCATACCCCCTCCTCTGATCCTCCTTAGAGCTGAATAAAGTAGTGGAATTGTCCCGACTTTACAGCTGGGTAGGCAAAGTTCAGAGAAGTTAATGTCTAGGGAGGGGGAGCACATGCCATAATCTAGCCAGAACTAGCCCCAAATACAGAAGTCCTGCTTCCCAGAGCCTATCACTTATTCCACTGCGCTGTACCCTGAATGCTAAAGATTGCTCCTTAAACCGAACATGTCAGCAGCTAATCTAACTCTCTGAGCTATTAAATAAATTACAAAACAATGATAGAAAAGGCAATCCTTCCTTGAGACAAGTGTACCATCCCATTTATCTCTTCACGTCCGGGGCTTCGCCAAGAACATGGTAGAGAGAAGGGTCTTCATACCTGTATATTACAATTTAAAAAAAAAAAACCAAGAAACAAAAATTCAAGTTTATACCATATTGACAATTAAAGACCAGCAAAACAGATGTCATGTGCTGCTTCCACATGTAGACCAACTAGAATAAGGCTACAATTCCATCAAGTGTAATTTATTTAAATAACAATTAAATTGCATGTTAAGTAAACCAGTTGTAGCAATATGAAAATATAGAATTCTGAGAAAACCTGGCAAATTAAACCTGTATCTAAACACAGCTTATTCTGTGATACTAAGGAATGAAAAATAAAATGTGTTGACTTTCAAGTTGGGATGATATATTTGCATTTAAAAATACAATTTCTAAGATGACATCTGTTTTCAAAAACGTCTTAATGGTAAAAATAGGCTACAGGAACTGTTGTCATGTTGAAATTTTAGATTTTATATTAGCATTAGCTTACAAATCGTAGATGATAACATTAACACAAAATCAGCAAGAGAATACTCATTGGGAACAGTTTTTATGTTAAAAATATCAGAAGTTCACAGTTTTCTTCTTTTTTCTTGACTTACATTGATAAAATGCTTTGATAGCTACAATCGATTTCACTTAGTACCAGATCCAAGGCCTACTTGATCAGCAGATGGATGTTACTAACACATTCATTTTATATAGAACTCACACATCTTCAGTTTCTAAAAATGTTTTGCTCTGCAGAACTGTGACCGCTGAGTGGGAAAGACAGAAGACTAAAATGTAATGAGAAGAGAGAAAGATAAAATGCTGACAATTTTTACTAACAGAACATTGAATCATAAACTACATACAGGTAGCTTTGATGATTCAACAGGAAACTTCACATTGGTTTACAAAGTGCTATGGCCTCTCATTTTATTTTTGTTTAATACAAACAAAAGTGAAACCACACATTATCAAAGAATTCTGAAATCCTTCTACATGTCAAGTTAACAGAGGTTTTTAGGTGGCCAGACCACAAGACAGGTTTATTTTATATGTTTTAAGGCAAAGCAAAATCTCCCAAATGAAACATCTACAAAATACATTTGCTTTGAGAATAAATTTCAGTAATAAAAAAATACTTCTCACTTATTAAATATACATATTTGCCTTTACATCTGATTTAGCAACTTGAATCAAAAAATGCAAGTGTTCTAAGAACATTTGCAATTCAATATTTTTAAACACCAATACATAAATGAGTCAGTTTTCATTCAGGTGTTTGGATGTCAACAGTCAGCAAGAGAAAAAAAAAACCAGACTACTTATAGAATTTTCCTTAACATAATATGAGAATGCAACATATTCTTGAGAATGAAGTAATTTTTCTGGACCATACATATCAGTGAAACACATATGTTCTCCTTCTGCAAATATTAAATGGAACTCAACAGTGCTTAAGCTATTAAATTTAACCAACAGTCTAAGATTTAAAATATTTACCATAATCTCTCTGTGAATTATTTTCTTAAAGAAAAAACAAATCACTCTATAGAAAGTAACCGTCTACGTTGAAGAATAAATCACTTTGGGGAAAAAAATGTGAATAAAAGCTGAACTCATTTGTTATTCCTGAAATTGCTACCTGGACATTTGTCTACATTAAAAATAGGAATGACTTAAAAATGTCTACATTATCTCCAAAGCAGAGTGTCATACCTTCAAATTAGTGAGACCATTGTATTACTCCATTCTCGTGCTGCCATGAAGAAATATCTGAGACTGGATACTTTATTAAAAAAAAAAGAGGTATAACTGACTCACAATTCTGCATGACTTGGAAGGCCTCAGGAAACTTACAATGGTGGAACGGGAAGGGAAAGAAAGGCACCTTCTTTACAGGGCTGCAGGAAGGAGAAGTACTGAGCAAAGGGGGAGAAGCCCCTTATAAAACTGTCAAATCTCCTAAGAACTCACTCGCTATGATGAGAACAGCATGGGGTAAACTGCCCCCATGATTCAATTACCCCCCACAGGATCCCTCCCACGACATGTGGGGATTATGGGAACTACAATTCAAGATGAGATCTGGATGGGGACACAGCCAAACAATATCAACCATGCAGCACTTCAAAATAATATAATTCCTTTAAAAATGAAATAATAATATTCTTTATTATGCTCATTCTTTATTCAAATTTTTTGACTATCAGTCTGCTACACTGAGACAAATCTGTTTCTTCCCCAAATGGTGCCCAACAGACTACCAATAATTAAAACTAAGTTTGCTAGAAAATATTAAGCAACAATAAAACTGAAGCTGTCACTGGGATATGCCAGCATCCCTTACATTCAGTGTTTAAATTGGTCTTTCTGAAAACTATGAGATTAATATGCAAGGCGTACTGTATGTTAATATTCAACAAGCTTTACATAATGAAGTTTGTTACTAAAGTACCCTGATTTTCCCTATTAAATATCCAATCTGTCCGCATTCTTTTCAGGTAAATACAGTGAGGCAGCTGCTTTGATTTTTCCATGCAATGTCCTGTTACAGTGTTACTGTGCTAAACACATGTCCTGGGTACACTGTAACCAGAAGGGAATGAGGCGTAGACTTCCTCTGAAGCTAGATCCCACTATTTCCTCTGGATAATTCAGGCCAAGAACCTGCTCAGCCATCTCAGTCCACTAAACAGTCCTTGCATCATTTCTTTCAGCAGCTATGAAGTTACAAAATGACTAGAATGGACTTCTAAGAGGAGAGTCTGTCAAGATCAGATAGCAACTGCTCAACATAAAAGATATCTTCCCTGACGATAAATTCTGATGTGTCCTTTTCATTACATTTCAAGTTCAACATTTCAAAGTAACTAAATCTAATAGCAAATGTATAAAAGACAAAACTATCAACAACAGGCAGTAGAAACAAGCAATCTAACACTTAAAGACAAAAATATGTAAATAACTGAACTGGGGGAGGGAGAATTTGAAAAAAATCCTGCGTTTCTTTGGAAAGAACTGTATAAAAACATTGTCTATTTATTATTTGTATGTTGTTCTGTATATAGCTATCTATAGATACATGTATGTTATGAAGAAATAACTAGAGATAAAAATGTCATATATATGCATATCACTTAGGTATCATACATTCAAAAATATTAATAGGCAGCAAAAGGCATAAATATGTCATGTTATTTGTGTGTTTGTTTTTGAGATGACATTTCACTCTTATTGCCCAGGCTGGAGTGCAATGGCGCAATCTCGGCTCACTGCAACCTCCGCCTCCTGGGTTCAAGCAATCCTCCTGCCTCAGCCTCCCAAGTAGCTAGGATTACAGACATGTGCCATCACACCCAGCTAATTTTGTATTTTTAGTAGAGATGAGGTTTCTCCAAGTTGGTCAGGCTAGTCTTGAACTCCTGACCTCAGGTGATCTACTCTCCTGGGCCTCCCAAAGTGCTGGGATTACAGGCGTGAGCCACCGTGCCCGGCTTTGAATATATATTTTAAATAAACCATCTGCAAAATTATTCTCTAAGTGGTAACATATGTCTTTAAATCTTTATTTTATATATAGATTTTATATATAGCATGATCTTAGTTCACAGTAGCCTCAAACTCCTGGGCTAAAGGGATTATCCCACCTAAGTCTCCCCAGTAGCTAGGACTACATGTACACTCCACCATGCACAGCTAATTTTCTTGTTTTTATAAAGAATATTGCCCTGGCTGGCCTCACACCCCTGGCCCCAAGTGATCCTCCCACTTTGGCTTCCCAAAGTGTTGGGATTACGGGCGTCAGCCACCATGCCCAGCTTCTAAAAACCTTTAAATAGTAATATTGGCCTAGTTGAGAGAGTCAGTATTAAAACATTAGTAACAAAGCAATTGAAAAGGTTTCACTAGATTTCTCAGAATAATTTTATCTTAGAAAATATTAATCATGAAATTTATCTTCTCAAAGATGAGAATCACTCTACCATGACTCTTAACAACTGTACTTTGTAAAAAAGCAAAGAATGTCTGTAAAATCAAATTAAAATCATAATCTCAAAAATCAAATCTCTCCATCTAGTCCATAAGGAGGGCAGAATAATGTTCAAATATGCCAATGACATTGACTGTCTGCAGAATAAACATGATGAAATGAAAGTTTAAGGGCACTTAAACAGAAAAAGCAAACTTCACAGATATGTATGTGAAGCACAAATCAGGTTATCATAGCAGACAGCAAGTAAAAGCCAGAACTCTGGAAAGCAGGCCATTGGGAGGCCTTTAAGCAGAAGTGCAGTGCATATGAGTGAATGCTCCCTTAGCATTCAGCCCCATTCCCATATGTACTGTAAGTCATTCCAGTGCTCCGCAGCCATGTGTGGCGAGGGGCTACTGGGACTGGACAGAGCAGGACTGAGGGGAAACAACACTGCTTACAGGCTCTGCTTACAGACTCATGAGGATGAGGTAATTTTCTAAGATCCATTCCAGGCCCAAGAAATCACAATATCTTAGGGTATTAAAACATCACTGGAGCCTTCATTAACTCATTTTAACTAAATGTATTTGAATTTAAGATTTCTAAATACAGAGATTATAAACAGCAGGGGGGAAAAAACAGAAATACAGGGGGGGAAATGAATGAAGAATTAGATAATTCCAAAAGATTTTCCAATTGGTCACAAAGAACTTTTTAAAAATTATTTTTAATGTCCAAGCTGGGGGAAAACCCATCTATTTATGAAGATCAACAGACTCACTTTAAAAAGGAGTGGAATCATAAGTATTAACAGCAGGGATTGTTAGCGTCTGTCACAACTACCTCTAATAGTAGCTTTGAAGGAGAAAACATTCACTTTTATTTGAAATGGTCGGGGGGAGAATTTTTTCTTCACACATTCCCCACTGATTTGAAGCCCTAATAATAGCATCGTAGAGTAACCTCAAAGTTCAATTAGTCTAAGCTGCTAGGACAGGCAGAAATGGCAGTCACATTAGCCCTGCTAAACTCACCCCTTTGCAGAAAAACTGGTTATCGATTGTAGACTGTTGGATTTTCCAATAATGAAAAATCTTCTAGGGTGCTGATTAATCTGGAATTCAGCTTCCTACAGCTTTTATCCACTTGCCTCATCTCTGCTCTCTGAGGATGAAGGCAGGATCAGTGGACTTAATTTTCCTACATAACTTGGAAACTTCTTATATCAAGGAGCATAGAAAACATTAAAATATATGTTCAGATAAGAGCAGAGGCAGTTCACCTTTCATTCATTGTCAAGGGGAAATCATGCCTTCCTTGTCACCATCCCTACAAAGCACTTAAATTTATATAGTTACTTAAATATATACAGCACTTAATATACAAAGCACTTAAATTTATACACTTACTTAATTTTATATAGCACCATTCAGAACCCTGACTCTCCATTAGGAAAAAAAAAAAAGCCAATTATGCCAGGAACTACATGAATTGCACTGTCAAGACACATTGGCAACCCAACCCCATCATAAATGTCCCTCAAAAACTAGATCAAACTGTCACTTCAGTATTCATTCTTCACAGAGCACCCTAATAACTCCAAAATGCAATATTAGCTGATGCCATAAGAAGCTGGGGCCACTACAATATTTTGGACATAGCAGGAAGCATAAATATTTGTAGCATTTTGATATTATAGGAGTACTAAAAGATCCACTGGATATACTGTCCATGGTATCAGGCAACTATACAAAGAATAGGAAATAACAATAAAATAAAATATAAATAACAAAAGATTTTTATATGGAGAAGATGAATTTCTTTTATATTTGTTTAGTAATGTGGAGTTAAAATAAAAATGGCCACTCTAAGCTTAAAATTATTTCATTTTATACCCAAATGAGAATTTTTTTTACTGGCTTGCAGCTTCTCACAGTAACACAGTGAGAATGCTCAGTGTACCCACAGTCACAATACGGGTGTATGCTTCCAAAAATAATGTCACCAAAGCTCTTCTAAGAACTTCATAAACTTTTTTCCAAAGCTATACACAAATAATATTTAATGTTTTCCACTACTAATTATAATGACAGTTAATTTTATTTTCTATTTTGTCTGTACCTAAAGTTATACTGTTAACAATACATTGGTATCTACTGCCATAGTATCTGAACGGGTGGTACTCCGACTTGAGTTCTATTAATCATCTTTCATTGGATATACATCCTCAGTGTTGGTCAATAATCAGTACTCTAAGGAAAAGAAGCCACACACTGCTTGATACAGGTCCATGTGGCAGGGAACAACAGGAGCAAGTTCATATAACCTGGACTACTGTCAACATCAAACACATGAATACACTGAAACGTATTTGAATTTCTATGCTTCTTTCATTTTACAACACAGACCACAGTATCAGCCACTACTTATGTGTTGATACTGTAATCCATGCGTAAAAACCATAATTATTCCAATAACTCATACTTTTGTATAGCCTTTTTCAGTTTACAAAAAGCTATCATATGCTTTATCTAATTGAACCCTCACAAGTACCAAACACTACACTGCTATCCACACTGGGGCAACTGAGCCCCCGAAAAGCTGAGCTACTAACTCTGTGTCATAGAACTATTAACCCACAGAAATGAACTCCTGACTCCCAATAGGTGGCTCCTTCTGTTAAACTGCAGAGGCTTCTGTGACAAGTTATTCTTCAAAACGGAAACAGAAATAAGACAAGGCCCAGATTCATCAACTCATAAATTGCCTTTCCTCACTCTGGATGCAACCTGGTCCTCATCCACAACACATACATGTGGGGGATGAGGGGCAATGGTGATGACTGAAAAATAAACCACTCCAAGTAAGAATGGTTTACATTCAACATTTTAAAGTTGTTTGTTGAAAATAAATACCTATTACATAGACTCACAGTTATAAAACTGAAAGAGATCTTGAAAGTCATCTGTTTTTTAATTTAGATTTCACAGAAGAAAACATGGTGACACACAGGGCACAGTGGACTCGCTAAAGGTCACCTCACTAACTGCTAATAGGGGAGCAGAACAAGGACTATCTGGGGTGTCAAGCTGTCTTCTGCTCCATGCCCTGAATCTGTTTCCCAAGGACTAAGTGAGGTCCAGGTATCTACAAGGAGACATCACAGTGCTAGAGAGATTAGAAAATTAGGTCTTACCAACATCTTAAGTGTAAAAATTACTGATACTTTACATATCATTTAAAGTAGCAGGAACTTTACTTCCTATAAGAAAAATAACCCATATATGTATTTTAGGCTCTCACTGCTAAGGTTAAGAAAAATTCCTAAAATATGACACTTTCTTCCCTTTAAATACACAGGAGGTTTTGAATTTTGTTACTATAATAGACTTAAGTACATTTAAACTCAGTCTCTCCAAAATGTCACCACCTTTATTCAAATGAAGAGTAAAAAACCAGTAACTGAATACTGCATCATCCTTTATAGATACAGGTCTTTTCAACCTATGAAGTACATTATGGCCCATCTGTGTTCATGTTCTCAGACTGTCTTTTTCAGAAGTCTTTTGAAGGTCATTGTTAAACTATTTTAAATGTAAGTGATACTTATCCACCTTCTGAAGTTTAAGTACTAGGCAACAAAATATCTCTGAAGTTTAACTACCCAACAAATCTAAAATTGGCTCAACTTATAAGCTAGTTGCTAAACAATATTAATTTCCACATTAAAAAAATAAATAATCTAATTAGACTATTGCATTTGCAAGTCTTTTAAATGACTTATTTACCCCCAATTCAAATCTAATATGAAATTATTTTGGGGGAGGCAAAATATAAGAATTTTCTAGATAATACAGAATGCCATTCCATAGGAAAAAAAATTGTGTAGACCAACAGTAAACCTCTCAGATGATAGAAAATATTAACAATAACATTGTTTTTTTGTCTCTTATTCACAAGATCACTTTTCAACTTTAATATAAGGTTTAATCTATATAGCAGATGTTGATGCTAATTGAGGGAAAATTCTATCCTTCAAGTTCTGATCAATCTGAGGAAGGTTTTCTCCAGAGGTGAAGAGCTGCCTGAATTCTGAAGTGTAGTCTGGATTCCAAGGAGTAATCTTTGTAGTTGTTCCTGAAAACAATAACAATAAAATTGTACAGTCAAAATGTCTTTATATACCAGGGTACCACCACCCTCCCATTCCTCTCTCTGATCTGCGTATTTGCTTTCAAACTTTAATATGCGTAAGAGATCTTAGTAAAAAGCAGATTCTGGTTCTGTTGGGGGAATCTTTGGGGGAACTGCAATAATCTGCATTTCTAGAAGCTTCCTGGTGGTCATCTAAAGGTCATATTTTGAGTAGCAAGGTTCTGCTTAATTACCAAACCATTCATAAGCACAGCAAGAAGGTTGTGAAGAGGGCTGTACAAATTTTGTGAACTAGTCCTAAATAATTAGACTTCCTTTTTTAAACTGAAAAATTATAAGGTAGGTGCGTATAAACATGGTGAGCATGATCACATAGATAAATCACTCAAGAAACCCAAATGAAACAACTGCAACAAAGACAGCAGAATTACCTAATGACATCAAAATTATTTATTCCAATTCTCACATGCAAATATCAATGGTTTGGCCAATAATTGCATAATAATTAGGCCGATGTCTTTAAAAGGGGACACAGAAATCCAAAGATTATTTAAAACCTGAGTAAGAGCATTTATGTTGACCTTCCTTTACTAGAATTGTTAAGAATCAGAAAAATGAAATACTTTTACATACTTCCTTGGTCCATGAGTGAGCTAGAATCACTTTCTTTTTTTTTTTTTAAAGATGGGGTTTCACCATGATGGCCAGGCTGGTCTTGAACTCCTGACCTCAGGTGATCCACCCACCTCAGCCTCCCAAAGTGCTAGGATTACAGGCATGAGCCACCGCGCCTGGCCTAGAATCGCTTTCTTTACAGTGACACTTACTTCTACAGCCCTTCCTTTTGAACAGGTTTAAGGGCTACTCACTGGTAATGATGATATAAGGGTTAGTAAAATGTATTATTCATAAACTAAAATCAACACCTTACTAGAGTTTACCAAAGGATGGAATTGAGTATTTTCCTAAATGTCTGGCCACCAATCTGGGGACCTTTGCAAAGCTCCTAATAGATAAAGGGAAAGTGTAGAGTACAGTCTTGGAATTACTGGGAAGTATCTTTATGTTTGAATCATCAGTATTGTCTTGAATAAGTGGAGGCTTTTCATTGCTTTTTAGTAGTGAGTTACAGGTCTTTTATTTTTGTCATTATAAAGTTGCCTTATTGCACATTGTGTATTCAAATAATGAATATTTGGAACAGCCGTATTTATAATCCATAATGCTCCAACAGCTGGATTTGAAGATATCTATATGTAACACATAAAATATCAGTCATACTCCCAACAAATTGACTTTAAAAGCAACTTGCTGTCATATCACCTATATACAAATATTTTAAGGAAGCCCTTCTTGGCTCTACCAGGCCCCTAAAGCTTTTGCCCCATTACAATATTCTATTTACAGCAAACATCCTAAAAGTGTTGCCTAAAGTGTCGCTCCATTTCACTTGTCACCTCACTTGTCAAGGTTCACTAGTGATCCTCATGCTGCCCAATTCAGCAGCCACTTCTCTGGTCTTACCTTGTGTGACCTCTTAGCTGCTGCCCTCATAACTAACCACACTTTTCTTTTTGAAACTCTATTTGGTTGGCTTTCCTAGATGTCTTCCTAATACTCTTAATCTTCTTAATCTTATCATTGAATGCCTAAGAAGATGCCATATACCAGACACTGTACTAGACCTCTTTCTCTAGCTATAGCACATTCACAAAATGACTTCATCATGTGCCATTGCTTTAAATATCACTATCTCTGTGCTGTTGACTGAAATCTCTACATTCAGCCCTGACCCTACCACTGAACTCCGTGCCACGTATGAATGCCAACTTGCCATCTACCTAATATGAGTACCTAATAGCCATCTCAAAGAATCAGTCTCAACAGAAGTATGTTTCCTTCTCTCCCCAAACATGCTCTTCTAAGTATTCCCCAGCACAGCAAAAAGCATCATCACTGACCCAGTGGCTCAACCTCCTCAATGTAGATGTTCATTATGACTTCTGCTAGGAATGTTCCCCACCTAGTTAGTTGGTCAACTTCTGATGATTCATCTCAAGACTGGCTTTACTTATGCAAATCTCAGCTACGATATCACTTCCTCAAGGATATATTTCAATCTAACGTGAAGTAACATCCAGGCACCATGTATCATATTATAAATCTCAGCAAAACACATACCACTGATATTTTTCTTGCCTATTTAATATCTCCCTCTGGCTAAGAGAGCAGAAACATTGCCTGCTTATAGTTGTCTCTCTAAAGCCTTTATTAGTTTCTGACACATAATAAGTGCTCAGTGAATAATTGCAGAATTTGAATAAATGAACAAATCACTATTTATGACCTAGAGCTACTCTAAATCACTCATAAACAGTGATTCACGACCTAGAGCTAAAGAATGCCAGCATTCTTTCTCTACTACAGGAAGTAAGTGTTGGAGGCAAACAGGCCATAGGGTTTTTGCCTTACCTAAGTGATCCATGATCATGGGTCTAAAAGCTATTGTCTATCAGAATGATAAAAATATTTTGGGGCCAGGTGCGGTGGTTCACGCCTGTAATCCCAGCACTTTGGGAGACCAAGGCAGGTGGATCATGAGGTCAAGAGATCGAGACCATCCTGGTCAACATGGTGAAACCCCGTCTCTACTAAAAATACAAAAATTAGCTGGGCATGGTGGCGTGTGCCTGTAGTCCCAGCTACTCGGGAGGCTGAGGCAGGAGAATTGCTTGAACGCAGGAGGCAGAGGTTGCGGTGAGCCAAGATCTCGCCATTGCACTCCAGCCTGGGTAACAAGAGCAAAACTCCGTCTCAAAAAAAAAAAAAATTTTGAAACTGCCAAAATAAACAGGAAAAAAAAAGGAGTCTGGGTAAGATCTGCAACCTTCACAAGATCAATGGCTCTTCAAGGAAATAATAGATATGGCTGAATACCTCGAAGGCTGGCAACCCAGGCTCCAAGGGCCAAAAAAAAAACACACCCATTTATTTACATATTACCTTCTATGTCTTCTTTTGATATAATGGAGTAGTTGGAATGGAGATCTTACACTATAAAGCTAAAAATACTTACTGTCTAGCCATTTCCACAAAAAGCTGGCCAACCCCTGATATAGAATAGGATAAGTTAGAAATCTCTCAGATAGATGCCCATAATCACATCTGTAAATAGTCACAGAATGAGGCAGTAAGAGGGTTTTGGAAACAGCACAATTACAGCAAAAGCCATGAGCAAAAATCAATCAGAAGTTAGCAGAAGTAGCATGATTACTAATTTGACATTAATTTATTAATTTTTAAGTATATAATATTACTGCTGTTGTTATAGCAGTATGGACATTTCTGACTCTGTAACAATCAAGGAAAAGCTGCCTTCAACACTTACCTTGCAGTTTCTAGGAACTTTATGGCCTTGTCCATTTCCCCTTGGCTTTTATATAAAAACGCCAATTCAAACAGAGTGAACGGCACTAGGTAGTGGTCATACTTCAGTAGCTTTTCACTGAAAGGGCAAAGGAAAAGCAAGTAAATCTTAACAGAAAAAGAAATATATATTTTTCTAAATATATATTATTCCCATTCCTCAGAAAATATGTGCAGCACCAAGTCTATCATAGAAAAGTGGCCATTGTATAGTTATGGAACTCATTAAACTATGGCAATAAATAATGTGCCTTTCATATGTTAATCTTTTATTTCGTAATATAAACCCAGCATTGATGGTTGACTGCTGCCCCTTAAGTAAATCAGTGCATACAGATCTTTAAAGATTAACCCTAGAAATGGCAAGATCATCTTTCAGAACATGGATATGTTCAGAAAATGACTCCATTTAGAAATAACAGAGTTGCATTATTTTTAAACTAAGGTTCAACTCCCTTTGTATTTTGAAGTCTTGTAATATTTAAAAGGCCAATAAAGAAATGGTCAACACCTCTGTTTTCAGCACCATTATGAGAACTGTCTGGTTACAAAACATCTAGAAGCACCAAAAAAAAAAAAAAAAAAAAAAAAATATATATATATATATATATAATATATATATATATATATATAAAACTAACACCATTCCAAATGCATAGCTTGGCTCACCAGAATGTAAGAAAAAACCCTCAAGTGCCAAAAACAGCTAGAATTGAAAAAGCAAAACTCTACATATGTGGGATGATGCTGAATGAGCCCTGTGGTCTGCCTCCATCTGAGTAAGGGCTTTGTATCCTAATGTCCATTCAGGAGAGGGGGTCTTGGGTACACAGAAAGCATGGAGTTGAAAGTAAGACCTCTATTTAAAGCTGGGATCCTTACAGGACTATTCTTTAAGAGAAAGGCAGATTAGAACAAACCCACTCACAGGCAAAGGAGGAAGACAAAGACAGTTGTCTCCTTAGCCAGCATTTTCGATGAGAAGAAAAAAGAATTCCTTAGGAAATTAATAACCAATAGGCCTGCCAACATTGAATGTGCAATTCAAATTTACATTGTCTAAATGATCCAAGAAGTAAGCAATGAAATTAACATGAAAGTAGCCCATGGCAGAAATAAAATGCAAAATCACTGTAGAGCAACTCTTCTTCAACACAGCCTCATAGGAAATCTCAAGATAAAATTCCACTGACGGTGAGTTCACAATCCAAAATTATAAAGCCCATGAGCAAACAATTCACTATGAGATTCACACACAAAAAACAGCACAATGGGTCATCCTTTTGATCATCCTTTTAATCCTTATAGAAACACTAATAAAATAGAACTCCATGGATAGTTCATTAACTAATTACAGAGTATTACTAAAGACAGGACATTTAGGAAATAGATATTTTCTCTTTATTCTTATAGGGGCACCACTCCTCCTACATTCCCATCAGTACTGTCAGGAAGACAGGGATCAGGTGGCCATGGATGGAAGGGCACATGATACATAGCACAGGATGTCCACCAGCAGTCTACAGCTGTGATCATTTTGGCTTGCACAATATTTTCAAAAAATTTGAGCCAATATTTTAAAATCAGGTTTTATATAAAATCCATATTCTAGGCTTTTCATGAAAAATGGTAGGAATTATTGCTATTGGGGCCACACCGTGTAGAGCAATAATCAAATAGAGCTGAGGAGTGGCTGTACGCTTCAGAGAAAACACCCTAACCTACAGAGCCTTCCAATCCTATTCCTGCCACCACTCAGCCAGCCTGAACAAGTAAGGTTACTTGTCTGGCCCCTGTAGATACTGCATTTGTGATACAGAGAAAAGGGCCAGGCATCAGAACCTTGATTCAACTCTGTGGTTAGTAATAGAGCAGGACATCATCATCAATGCCACTGGGGGAAAATAAAACCAAAACAAAACTCAATTATATACAAAAGAACTGCCTTTGCCAAAAGAGAGATAGTTACATGCCTCTCTTTCCTGTCAAATTACTATCACGGTGATGGCAAGTCTGTTTACTCAGCTCTGAATCCCTAGAATCCAGTACAGTCTCTGGCATACAGTGGGTAGTCAAAGATCCATGGAATAAATGAATGAACAAACAAATGCATGAATTAAATTAGTATCAGAAGCCAGGCATAGTAGCACACACCTGTAGTCCCAGCGACTCAAGAGGCTGAGGTGTGAGTATCTCTTGAGCCCAGGAGTTCCAGGCTGCAGTGAGCCATGACTGTACTACTGCATTCCAGTTTGGGCAACAAGAAAAGTCCCCCATCTCTTTAAAAAAAAAAAAAAGAAAGAAAACAAAAACTAAAGAAATATATTAAAACATTTTTAAAAATTAATGAGTAGCCGAGGTTCACTATGCTGCTGCCGGAGTTTGGCCAGACATCTGTTAGCTCAGCTACAAATAGAGTTTTGTGAGTCATCTTTAAATACCAACTGGAAATGCATAAAGCCATGTTACACCTAGACTATAATTTTGTTCATGAGGAACAACAACAAAAAACACTACTGGATTCTCTTTCTTGTAAGAGTTCAGCAGTAAGAGATAAAAGCATTTTGCATCACTTTCTCACAGCAATCCCCCAGAAACCACAATTTGCTCTCAGGTTGGTTTTATCGTTTGGTCTTACCTTTCCAAAACGTGATTGTAACATAGTTCAGCTTGTAAGGGCCGCTGTAAGTTCTTGAGACAACATCCTTTCAGTAACTTCACTAAGCACTCATCATCCACAGAGAAGCTGTTAAAATCTTAAAACAAAAAACATACAAAGAAAAATACTGTTTAAGATCTTAAGAGAAAGAACAAAGTTTCAGAGGATCATTTAAAAATAAGGAAAATGTTTTTAGCATGTTATGCCTTACTAAATAAAATACAATGAAATTATTTTAAATGAACAGAGCTGAGCACAGTGGCTCACACCTATAATCCCAGTGCTTTGGGAGGTCAAGGTGGGAGGATCACTTGAGCCCAGGAGTTCAGGACCAGCCTGGACAATACAGTGAAACCCTGTCTCTACACAAAAAATTTTTTTTAATTACTGGGCATGATGGCACATGCCTGTAGTCCCAGCTGCTCAGAGATTGAGGCAGGAAGATCACTTGAACCCATCAGTTTGAGGCTGCAGTGAGCTATATGATGGCACCACTGCACTGCAGCCTGGGCGAAAGATACATACATACATTCCTACATGCTGAATTTACTATATAAGAACATAATTTGATTAAGGAGTTCACTCTATCCACCTTAAAATATTCTTCAGGTGGCCACACTCTGAGCTTTGTGACCTTAGATACAACAACCCGAAATCTGAACTCTAAATAAAGTAAGAACTTTAATAATTCTATAAAAGGTAAAGCCATGGTGAACAAGAAGGCTGCTTCCTCCTGTTGTCTGGCTTCGGTGTTGGCTTCACTACAGGAGAGGATAACGCTTCCATATGGAGAAGCAGATGGTCTTATCCCCATTAAAAATTCAGGAAGTAGAATACCCTCTCCAGATCATTATGTTTACAACTTATCAATTCTCCCAGGTTGTGTTCTTTTTGGGGGAAATTATGCCATAAGATTAAACAAAACGGTTCTGAAGTGCATGAAAGGCATCTCAAATCTCCACAAACTTCTAACTGCTTGAGGAAAATGTCAAGGATTTTCTTTCACTTTTTCACTGTTGAAAATGCTCTCTGCTTTCTACAGCCCAAGGCAAATGTGTGTTAAACAGAAGGAACCATATTATGTGTGACATCTATCTGACAAAGGTAGCCATTCCGCATTTACACTTCTGAAATTTTTTTTGCAAGTTATAGGCAAGTACAAAGTCATTCCAAGACAGACTGGTAATTTCACATTTCAGGCTGTGACAGTAGAGAAGATGGCAGTAAAGGGAACACACGAGGCCCTGGGAGTCCCTCCTATTGAAATCCTCCTGCTTTCAGCACAGACCTCAAAAATCATCATTAACACGTGCTGGCAGCTGAGATGGTAAACCACTTGTCTATGGGGATTAACTCACTTTACTTCTAGGTGTTAAAAACTGAATATTCACCTCTAACTTTCAAGCTCTGATAGGTCACTCACTGAGAAAAATCACAGGTATCAATAACCCATTACCTTTTCTATAATTTATTTAGAATCATCTTTCTACCAAAATAAAATTCTATCCATTGCTTTTAATCATGGATGTTAAAATAGACACTAAAGAAGTAATATCTTTTAGGACCTAGAACCAAAACCAAGGGTCCATATCGGATGCTACCTTTTAGTATCACTTTTGTACATTGTACTGAGTTTCCCGTAGCATTGTATCGACAGTTTGTGTTATCACAACATTCTGGTGCTCAATGAATGATGATTTTGTTGAACAGACAACATCATGGGAAGTTAAAATACCAGTAAAGCCACATGTAACTTCTATGTCAAACTTGACTTAGGCATATGGCAAGTGGGTTCAAAAATGCTATATTTCTCCAAAAACCTCAGATAGCAAAATCATTATTTCCTCAAATTTCAGACCATTATCTATCAGATGATTGTTTTCCCTTAAAGTATAAATGCTTTGTCATGATTTTCAACCTCATGAACGTGTTCATAAATGAACATAACACACAACACACATGTAACATGTTTCCATTTTACATTCAAAGAAAATTACATGATAAAGCTGCCAGAGTACAATTTCATAACAAAAGATCTGCTGAACTTTTATGGTGGATAGGCTGAGAAACAGGGAAGTCTGAAGCCCAAACTACAAAAAGTATCTATGTTGAAATTTTTAGAAGCTAGCTAAAACGCCCCCAAGAGAAAAATCGGAAAATACATATAGAAAGTAAAAAGTCATAAAGTCAGCATCACTTTCCCTTTTACATAATTCTCATAATGTTTGCTATATAATTTTATTAAACGAATTAGTCAAAGTGGAACTTCTGGCTACATGTTGAATTTAGTTAGATTTCAAATGAAACACTATTGGAATTAATACCAAATGCTGACTCCAGGGATGTCACCAACTTCTGTGCTGTCTTCAAAGTTCTATCTTTTGTATCAGTGACCAGCATTTAATAACTGTGGCCAGAGCACTGCAGAGTAGCAGATCAGTAGTACCCTCTACCATCTTTTACTTCAGACACACCTGCAAATCTGGAGAGGCAAATGCACATCCAGTTTCCAATAATGGGGCAGGGATGGGGTAGAAGATGATGTAACCTCAGGTTTACAACTTCTCTCCATTTTCCAATTATGGATTTTTCTTCCCTGCTCTGAAGGATATGCGCTTAATTACTAAACTGTCCTAACAGTTCGAGGTGGGGAGGAGAGCAGGAGACAATCTTCTTGCAGAAAATGAGTCCTAGAAGAGGTCATCATAAGTGTCACATGCAATATCTGGCAAAGGTGATCTTCAGAAAATAAACTAATTCTTTCATCCAGAGAGAAGACACACAAAGCCAAAACTATGAGTATGACATGACTGTCTCTCTGTGTCAGCTCCCCACTGCCTGCTTAAATATCTCGAAAGCCTTTCATCTCAGCATGTCATAAAGAGAAAAAGGAATGGGTGGAGGAGAGCAACTTGGTTTTCTAAATTTCCACTGTATTTTACTTGCATAATCTGATAAAATATACTTCCCCTCTAATTTTGCCCTCAACCAGTGGAGGGAATAAACAGGGGGTTGGGGGTAGTGAAGAGCTTGCTCAAATAGACAGTGGCTGGGCTCCTGGAGTGCCTGTCTTTTCCCAGTTAAGAAAAATTAGTTAACTGTTATAATTTCCCCCCACCATTCCTGAATTTCTATGCCCTTTACCATGTTTATCATCACAGAAGTTTTCATTTTATTTCTGTGGTTAGAATATTACAAAAAATAAGACCATTTATCTTGGGATAATACCTAAGTGACTTGGCACTGAAAATAAATACAACAAAGGTTATCACTTATGTCATTGTCTACCCCCATTAAAAATACAGAATTGAAAAATGTCAGGGCAAGGTAACAACGTTGGATAGCATCTGGTCCAACATTCCTCCCACTTCACAAGAAAACAGAAGTCTGATGGCTGCAGAGCTGGGACTATAAGCCCAGACCGCATGATTCTCCTCTTACCACATCAGCTGCTCCCAGTCAACTGAAGAGTGGCCTCTAGCACAGCCAAACATAATGGGTAGAATAAACTGTGATAACATTTTACCTTAAAAACTGTTCCCTGGGTCTGCAGAAACACACTAACTGTTAGAGAGCAATAAGGAGGCACAGCGTCACAGTAGGCCAGGCGTGTGGTGGCTCATGCCTATAATCCTAGCACTTTGGGAGGCTGAGGCAGGTGGATTATTTGAGGTCAGGAGTGCGAGACCAGCCTGACCAACATGGTGAAACCCTGCCACTACTGAAAATACAAAAATTAGCCAGGCATGGTGGTGTGTGCCTGTAATCCCAGCTACTCAGGAGGCTAAGGCAAGAGAATTGCTTGAACCCAGGAGGCGGAGGTAACGATGAGCTGAGATCATGCCACTGTACTCCAGCCTGGGTGAAAGAGTAAGACTCTATCTAAAAAAAAAAAGAAAAAACAGAAAAGAGGAAGAAAAAAAAAAAGTCAACTTAACCCAGAGGGAAGTGGACATTTCCTTGTGCTGCTCCAAAACTCCAATGCTGGGCTTCCTCCCTTCATCTTTTTGTCACAGTTTTAAGATATAGTTCACATAGCATACAATCCACCCATTGGGAATGTACCATTCAATGGTTTGTAGCAAGTTTACAGAGTTGTACAGCCATCACCACAGTCAACTGTGGAACATTTTCATCACCTCCCTCCCTATCATAACCCCTAACTTTCAACCTCCATCCCTAGGCAACCACTCATCTACTGTCTGTCTTTATAGATTTACCTATTCTGAGTATCACATCAATGGAATCATACAATGTATGCTCTTTTAAGGCTGGCTTTTCTCCCTTAGCAAGATGTTTCCAAGGCTCATGTAGTTGCAGCGTGTATGATTCCTCCCTGCATCTGGACTGCAATCACCCAGACCCCTGCAGCTCAAGTTCTTTGTCCTTATGATGTACACAAATTAACACAGGCAGATGAGCACAGGGAAAAGACAGGAGAGTGGTCATGGAGCAGAGACAAAGACTCCTTGGTCCTTACTTTGCATACTTACTTTGATTTTGTAAAGCTGCCTCAGCTTTTTCAACAGTTACCAACAGATTTTCAGAAAGGTCTTTCCTTTTGTTCACTATTGAAAAACCATTCCAGACATACATCATTTCCTAATGAGAAAAAATGGAAACGATTTGCAGTTATATGAGGTTATTCAATGTCCTTTATGATCCCCAAACGATGTTCACGCGTTTTGTCTTGGTTTCTAGGAATCTCAAGACAATATTTACAGACTATTTTCCTTTGCTTTTGCCTTTTATACTGTGAAGTAATTCAGTATATAATGTTTTCACTGAAATTTTAATTTATTCATACATATAACAAATATTTATTAAATATCTACAAGCATTGAATTCTTTTGGAAGGTAACAGGATACAGATACAGAAATAAATATATTAAACCGATACTACGAATAATTCTGTTTAATGTAAACTTTTGTTACTTTTAAGTAAAGAAAAATATTTTTAAATGTCTGCCAGTTGTTTACATAAAATGTTTCCAAGAATATTACTGGATATAAACACTGGAATATTTTACTGGGCTTAGGATCTTTTATACCATTAGAAACATGTGACGGTCCAGTAATGCAATCCAATATGCAGAAAACGTATTCATTTAAAAGCCATATGGCTGAATGACAGCTCCTAAAATGTAAACTAATGATTTCTCATTGCAGATTATATTTAATGGGCTACCAGATGAGAATTTTTTTTTTTTTTGGATCAAAAGCAAGTGTGCTTTCACTTGAAAATATTTTTCTAATGTTCCTGATAGCATAGTTCATATTTTGAAGGGTATAAAATAAGTAGAGTAATTAGTATCTTCATGGAGATAAATTTTAAGATGATAAAATATCACTTGAAAAGCCTATTACCAGGAAGTAGTGGAAATGAGGATGAAACACTCAGGGAGAATGGAAACAAAGGTATCTTTACCTTACACTGACAACTAAGATCAGGACACTCTACCTTCAATTTTACATGTAACAATTTCTTCTTGCTAAAAGAATAAGAGTTCAATTCAATAACAGAATATTTTTTAAATGATAATGATGACCTTTTAAAAATTATTTTTATTGATAGAATCTTTTTATCAGAAGGAGGCAAGTCCATATCTGAGACTTTATGAAAAAAAAGGCTTTTGGCAAAATTCCTAGGTACAAAAAAAAAAATCCCAGTACCAACATTTCAAGCCAATTTCCTATATATTCTACATCCATAGACATGGAGAAAGAAGTGCAGTGAATTAACCTTCCCTAAAATTCTTAATAGTCAAAGCAGGACACAGTTATGTACATACTGGTATCTAAGTACTAGGCAAAGAAAGACAATGATAGTCTAGAAAATTTTCAGTAGACTTCTGTGAGACAGAAAACCTTCCCAGTACAAACCACTTAATAAAAATGAATCAGGCATGGAGCTACATCGATCATTGGTAAAGCAGCAGCAGGCTTTCATGTGAGCTGGGAGAGGGGGATGTTTGGTTATTTGTGTGATTTACACAAATCTTGTGTAATTTTTATTTGTGCTCAGACACGATTACAGAGCGGTCATATTTTTATCTTGCTCCATCACAGTCACAAAAGGACGCTGTCTGATGCTGAAGTTCTCTGAGGTTATAGTAGGTGGGAAACACATGGACCTAGGTGCTAGGCTCAGGCTAACTCCTGTCTGACCCCTGAAAGGGAGGGGCTGCATTGTTCTTTATTTCTATATATAAAGGGCTCTCACAAGTCATTAAGAAAACAATAAACAATCCAATGAAAAATTAAGGAAGAATATAAACAACAATTCACACAAGAATAAATAAAAATGAAGAAACACATAAAGAGATGCTCCACCACATCAACAGGGAAATGCAAATTAAAATGGTAAAACACTGTCAGTACTTATTTAAAGTGGCAGAGCTTTTTTGGAGGGAAATTTGACAATATCTACCAAAATAGTAAATGTATATATTCCCTTCAACTAGGAATTCCATTAAAAAAAATCCTTCCCAGAGAATTATATGCACATGTACAAAAAGAGGATAATCATTTTAGTTTTCAATTTTAAAAACCAGAAAAACCTAAATAACTGTCAAAGAGGAATAATGAAATAAACTCTGAATTTTTAAAAATAAAAACAAAAAACCCTCAGGAAACACCAGAGGGGAGGACTGCAGCATCAGCTTACAACGAACAGCTTTCCTGTGCTATCTATACAAAAACTAACGTACCAGAAGAGTCATAGTAACTTGATATATTCAGTATTTCTCTTTTTTGAGATGGAGTTTTGCTCTTGTCGCCCAGGCTAGAGTGCAGTGGTGTGATCTTGGCTCACTGTAACCTCCACCTCCTGGATTCAAGCTATTCTCCTACCTCAGCCTCCCGAGTAGGGATTACTGGCACCCGCCACCACACACAGCTAATTTTTTTTATTTTTTGTAGAGACGGGATTTCACCATGTTGGTCAGGCTGGTCTTGAACTCTTGACCTTGTGATCCACCGCACCCAGCCTTACAATGGTTTTTAATTGAGCTAAACTTCATAACCAAATTTAGACACGCTCCTATGCTCCCTGCTGCTGTGAATAGATAATTTATTTCTAGTACATGAAAAAGTAAATAAAATAAAAGCAGATACCAGGGCAGGTAAGACGAGCTTCACAGGTGCAGGCAAGGAGGCAGAGTAACGGCGAGCCTTCCTCACAGCAAACTTCTCAGTAGGGAGAGATTTTCCGGCAATTCTCTGCTTCAAGCTCTCCACCTGTCTGTGAAGAGCCCCAGCCCAGCCCCAGAGAAAGATCATGGCAACACATACATTATTTACACCTGTGATTTTCACAATGAACATCACAGACCACCACCACCAGCAGCAGCACTTGGGAAGCTATTTGAAATGCCATTTTTCAGGCTCTACTCTAGACCCACTGAATCAGCAACTCCAGGGCTGGGGCCAAGAAATCTGGATTTTGATAAGCCCTCCAGGTGATTCTGAGGCACACTCAAGATTGGGAACCACTGATTGACACATATTTCTTTCCAGTCAACTTAGCTAATGGCTTAAATCAAACACACTCCAGGAAATCTAGGTATGAAATTGGCGATTTCTACAAGTAAGCAGGAAAGAGTCCAAAATATTTACTTATGTTGTGGATGCTCAGGGAGAGCGAAAAGGGTACACTGGTATATCTCCTATTCCTATTTGCAAGTATTACAACAATAATATGGCTCAAAAGATAGCCATTAATTAATGTATAATTTAAGAAAATGTTTCCTAAACACAGGTGGTTTGGGAAATAATCAGCTTAGAACATGTACCATGTTTACAAATTTCTTTTCAAAATTCTAAAGAATTCCAATTATGAAATTCACAAGCAGGTAAAAATGAGAGTAGGATGGGGAGACTACATGTTCCTGGGAATACCTTCTTATACAAAATTTTATGAATGCATCAAACAAGTTGTTGAGAAAGAATTCAAGGAAATAGTCAATTACATGACTGAAAGAAAAAGTAACATGAAATAATATACCTCCAATATGAGGCAAGCTTCTGTTAGGTTACTTCTGGGCATAATATAGAGTTATGGGTTTTAACCTAGAGTGTCCCATCAATCATTTATGTTCACTACCATCAGTGGAAAAGGTGGTGGAAATGTGAGGTGGGGGTCAGGAGAAAGGGTTCATGTCTCAGACAGGAACCCTTGTAGTTTAAAGGTAACAGCATCTTTATGAAGAGACCATTCATTTTAGAACTCTCATTATCCCAACAACCTAGAAGCTGTGAAAGAGCACCTCAAAGCTTTCTCCTGAAAATAAAATGATTACATCTTTCACAAAAACTGTTTTGATATGGAGAAAACTTAATCTGCAGTGGAAGAAAGAGAAGGAGATTGAAAAGATTTTAGTGTATCTTAATACTCCCATTAATTATTTCTGTGAAATGAGAAAATGAACTTTACAATAAAAGGTGACATTTATCATACCATGGCTTCTACTAATGTTGATGCTGATGCTACAGTTAGTATACATGGTCTTTTTTTTGGAGATAAGGTCTCACTCTGTCTGTCGCCCAGGCTGCAGTGCAGTGGTGTTATTTGAGCTCAATGCAACCTTCATCTTTCAGGCTCAACCAATCCTCCCACCTAAGCCTCCCAAGTAGCTGGGACTACAAGCACATGCCACCAGGCGCCCAGCTAATTTTTTTGTATTTTTTGTAAAGATGAAGTTTCACTCCTTTATACCCTCAGGGCCTTTATTATAGAAATAGTGTCTCACATACCTGAATAAAGTTACCACGTTCTCATTCGTTGCTGCCACATCCTCCTCTGGAAGCATGCTCAAAATTGCAGCTTTCAAGAACACATAAGTTGCCTTGGGAAAAAGAAGGAGCTTATTACAAAACATCCCTAGGTACATGACATTTCTACCTCTCAAATCAGGAATAACCTACAACTCTTCCAGATACAGTATTAAGAGGCATTAAAGAAATCAGAGGAAATGAAATCTTATATTTCCTGTTCAAAATGAGAACAACTCTTTTTGATTATCAGTAATTTAGACCATTTCCCTATTATATAACTACGGCATTCATAGGTGAGAAAGTGGGCAAAATGGACAAGAAAAAATTATCTCACTGTCCCCAACTTCTCATAAGTGGATCAGAAATAATTTTCATTATCATGAAAAGCCTGGGCATCAGGGCACTGGGAAGCCCAAACAAAATTATCAAGATGATTAAGATTTCATAACTTTATAAGTACGATTAATTTTTAAAGATAAAACCTCAAATTTAAAATAACTTTTTGCTTTTGTTTGAGACAAGGTCTCCCTCTGTCACCAGGCTGCAGTGCAGTGGTGTGATCATAGCTCACTGCAGCCTCAAATGCTTAGACTCCAGCTATCCTCCTGCCACAGCTTCCCACATAGATGGGACTATAGACACACACCACCATGCCTAGCTAATGTTTTTACTTTTTGTAGAGATAAAATCACCCTGTGTTGCCCTGGCTAGTAGAAAACAATCTTCCTGCCTTAGCCTCCCAAAGGGCTGGGATTACAGGTGTGAGCCATTGTGTTTGGCCCTAAAAAGAACTGTGGATGGCTTTTAAAGCATGTAATGCTGAGGACAGTACCTATAAACAGTAGGTACTTAAGGCAAATTTCCTCCTTTCATGTATCTCTAAATTGAGAAACCACTGTGGTATCATACTATTGAACAAATAGTCCTAAAAGAAAATCATCCTGGCCACATATTAGCAAACGAAGACATTAATCAAAGTACTGCCCTTTACCTTGGACCATTTACTCTCTTTGCAAAGCAGATCTGAATAGTAATATGCCTGCATCCAGTCTTGTTGGAAAACATTAATCCACATTAGCTCCCAGTAGCAGAGATGGTGAAACTGTTTCCATTCTTCTTGAACTGAAACACATTTTTTAAATACTTCTTGTGCCTGTAAATCAATTGCATAAAGTTGATCATCCAGATGTTAGACAAGGAGATAATAGCCTAATGAAAAATGCATAAAACTCTCAGTACAAAAAGGACAAAATTATCACTCATTAAACCTCTCAATAACGATATGTTTTTTCCTTACAGGCAATGGTTCAGTTAAGTTCTGCCTCTTTCTTTAATTTTATGAGGAGGGCTTGACACTTTATAATGTAGGAGTGGGGAAGTTCCATTCCAAGGAAGATATCAAATGTAAATGTCATTAAAGAAAAGACTGACAATAAAGTTACAACTTCCACACAACAAAACATCGTGAGCAAAGTTACAGGCAACAGACAGGAAGAAGATGTCACTATCTACATAAGTGGAAAAGATTAACCCTTGGGGCGGGGCACGGTGGCTCACGCCTGTAATCCCAGCACTTTGGGAGGCCAAGGCGGGTGGATCACGAGGTCAAGAGATCGAGACCATCCTGGTCAACATGGTGAAACCCACGTCTCTACTAAATATACAAAAAATTAGCTGGGCATGGTGGCGCGTGCCTGTAGTCCCAGCTATACAGGAGGCTGAGGCAGGGGAATTGCCTGAACCCAGGAGGTGGAGGTTGCAGTGGAGGATCGCGCCATTGCACTCCAGCCTGGGTATCGAGCGAAACTCTGTCTCAAAAAAAAAAAAAAAAGATTAACCCTTTTATCATTCAACAACTTAATAAAATTCTGTAAGAAAAAGAAAATGCAGAAGAAAATTGGCAAAGATGTAAATAGGCAAATCAGAAAAAATATATACACAAATGACAGATATACATGTGGAGAAATTTGTAAACTAGGCAATATAAACTTAAAAATTTGATTCTCATTTTTAAGTCATCACATAATGTCCCGAGCTGGCAAAGAGCCCTGGAAACAAATATTTTTATACCTTCACTGGAGTTTACATTGGAACGATCTTAAGTGAGGAGGGCAATTTGGCTGGATTTATAAAAATACAAGCACCTTTTGGTCCAGGAATTCTACGAATCATAATCTGTCATCTATAAACAGACCTATGCACAGAAATATACATACAACGATGTTTACAACAGTTTGTAGTGGCCAAATGTCTATGAACAACAGACCACTTCAATAGGTATAGTGTATCCATCCCATGAAATGAAACCCAGCCACCAAAAAGAATGGGAGACATTTAGGTATACTGACCTGGAAAGAGATCCAAGATGTATTGCAAATAGAAAAACACAAATCACAGAAAAATACATGTTTGATCCCATTTATGTGGAAAAAATTGTTTGTGAAGGTATATATATAAATGTCTCCTTACTGTTCTACTTCTGACTCTGATGCTTTCTTTTTTTGAGAGAATTGGAAAATATTTCCTTTGATAAGGAGCCCATATGTAGTAAGCAGACTTGCATCTCATGCAGGGGCTAGATTCCAAAGTCAGTGTATAATACAGAAATGGATAACAGTCACAGTTTCTTGAAAATCTCTGAGCTTATTTATTTGGTATATACTACCCTAAAGTACTTAATATACTCTGTGTATAAATGTAGGCTATATTCAGTAATCCACTGCACAGATTTTATATAACAGAATGTATATACACTTTAAAGTTTTGGCTTTTTACTTATATATTTTTTTCTTTATTTTTGTCTAATCCATACAGCTAAATTTACTTTTGTTGAATGAGTAGGATGCAATTCCACCATACAGACAACTCCCCTACACAACCCCCACCTAATAAATTACCTCTTCAAGATTCCCTTTCAGCAACTCTATTCGAGCATGATAAAACAACATGAGTGAGCCCTGCAGAGCAAAGAAGAAAACACACCGTTCAACAGTCAACACTGGCTGCTTAATTATGGATGAAACATACACTTTGAAATACTAAGCATACATTTGGAAACTCCTGGAGGAAGGGTGCCAGGAGACGCTCTGCTTCGGCAATATTCACTTCTCCTGTACCTAGAAATTTAACAGGAAAAGCCTCAGTCTTCATAAGACATGGGGATATTTATAAGCAACTCTCCAAGTTTCATTACCATATAGTAAATAAAGACCTACTCATGGAAAAGATGAAAACTATTATTTCATCATGTTTACGTCTAGGGAATAAAATAAAGACCAGTCTTACCTATAACTTTAGTTTCAGAAAGCTCTAGGACACACTAATTCTTAAGAATGCAGGTGGCTGTCTCAGATTCCTAACTGGAATTTCTGGTTCTAATAGCAATAATAACTTATTTAGCAAAAATTTCATTTTTTGCAAAGAAAATAAATCTAATATATGACAAAATAGATCACCTTAACACAGAAATTTTAGCTGAGAACAGATGAAAATTATTTAATGAAAGAAACTACCTACTCCCTCTGCTAAATGTCACAAAGACAAAGGACACTATTTTCTGCCTTTATTAAAAAAAAAAAGTAAACAGATATAAACTACTAGCTCTTGCTGATCTTTCTAAATTTTTACATACTCAGATTAATCAACTTTTTGTTTTGTTTCGTTTTTAAAGCTGGAGATAGGAGATCGCTCTGTCGCCCAGGCTGGAGTGCAGTGATGTGACCATAGCTCACTGCAGCCTCAAACTCCTGGGTTCAAGTGATCCTTCCACCTCAGCCTCCCAAGTAGCTGGGATTACAGGTGTAACCCTCCATGCCTGGCCAAGATAATCAACGTTCAATGAAACAATCTCATCCAGATCTTACCGAGTATTAGGGAGATGTAAGTATGAAAAGCGAGGATGGTTAAGCAGCACAGTACAGACCTCATGCTTCTTCCTGAAGCACCTTCCCTTAAGTGCAGGAGGCCCAGCTCCTATGGGAATCAAGTACATTTTAGAAAGAGAATATGACTAGAAAATCATATTCAGAAACTTTTTAAACATTTTTATATATTTCAAGGGTTACAAGTGCAGATTTCTTACCAGCATATACTACACGGTGGTGAAGTCTGGGCTTTTAGTGTACCCCTCACCCCAAGGGTGAACATTATTCCCAAAAGGTAATTTTTCAACCCTCTCTTCCCCCACCCCTCCCACCTTTGGTCACCTCCAATGTCTATTATTCCACTCTTTATGTCCATGTGTATCATTGTTTAGCTCCCATTTATAAGTGAAAACATGGTATTTGACTTTCTATTTAAAAACTCTTTAACTTTTTTTTGAGACAGAGTCTCGCTTGTTGTCCAGGCTGGAGTATAGTGGGAGAATCATGGTTCACTGCATCCCCTACCTCTCCAGACTCAGGTGATCCTCCCACCTCAGCCCCCCGAGTACCTGTGACTACAGGTGTGTACCACCATGCCCAGCTAATTTTTATATTTTTTGTAGAGACAGGATTCTAACATGTTACCCAGGCTGCTCTCAAACTCCTGGGCTCAAGGAATCCATCCACCTCAGCTTCCCAAAGTTCTGGGATTACAGACGTGGGCTACCATGCCTGGCCTAGTCAGAAACTTTAAAATGCTAGTTCATATATCCTTATCCTCCATGAAGGCAGAATTTCTTCAAGAAATTAGAATGGCAGTAATGCCTAACTAGAAATGAACCTTACATATTAAACTGGCATAAGACACTCTCATAAATCCTTTTATGTCATGTGATTCTAAAGAGAGAAAAGGGCAGTGTTCATTTCATGGAGATACTCTGTAGAAATACTCATTAAAACATATGAGGATCTAAGTGTAAGGCATCATGGTGGGTGTGAACAAACATGGGCTATGTATTCAAAGATCTTTCCATCAAATAGAGAATAGAGTATGTGAATACATGACCTTATTAGAATATGGTGAGAGACGTAAGAAGGATAAATAGCTAATTCTGAAAGTCAGGAATGCTTTGGCCTCACTGAAGGGGTATGAAGACAGCTTTGCGAGATAGATGGCATTTATCTCAACCCTAGTGGATTGAGGGGCTCTTGAGAGACAATTATTAGGGAGGAAGTCAGTTGGGGAAGATATCCAAAGCAGAGAAAAGCAAAAGCATGGAAACAAAAGCATAGGCCTTGCTGGGGAACAACCAATTGCCCAGTTTAACAAGAGTACTGGGAATGTGTGGAATAGTACTGGGAATGTGTGTACGGCTGGAAACGCTGGCTAGAATCAGACCATGGGGTCCTTGAAGCCATACAAGTTTGAACCTTATTCGAGAAACAATTTAAAGCCTCTGAAGGAATTGGGAGAAGGTGAATGCTTAAGGAGAAGGGTGACCATGAAACACAGCGTCAGAATAGACTACGTCATAAAGGAAGCAGGTAAGTACACAATGACTCACACAGAACACGGACCGTACAATAAACAGGAAAACAGTGAGAGCTGTTTATACTTGCTCTCATACATTTCTCAAAACCTGCTTTTTTAATCAACACTTTTTGCAGTGAGGCAACTCTTCTAATACCATATTGAATGTTATGGTTAATAAATGTGATATACTCACTACAAAACCACAAACACACAGAAATTTAATAAATAAAACTCATGGAAAACAAATGTCCACACTTGGTTTTATAAGGAAACTTGTAGAAATACACGGAAATCCAAAATAGTGCAATTATGTTGGGTCCATGGTGTTTGATCCATGAACATCATAAAATATTAGGGAAATCCAGCCTAATTTCTTCATCTTAAGGAGGACAACTCTGGGGCTGCTCAACTATTAAGAAGGCATAGGAAGCCACGTGAGAGTAATAAGATCTGGCAAGCAACAATATCAGCAACACGTAATTTTTTATCCCAGAATTTGGGTAACAAGGGTGAACATTTTTAACTTTCAACAGAAAAACTGTCTAACTCTCGAAAAATATGATCAAGAATCAAAGGCTTATTTTCTGTCCTGCAAACAAGTTGCCAATAATTATTAAGCTAGTTATGAGGACATGCTGCACTGCCCTCATATTCAATAACAAATGTTTTATCTTCCCTGTCAAAATTAAGATAATATTAAATGTGTACCCTGTTTCCAGAAAATCCAATAAATTCCAGGAGTCTGATAATCCTTGCTGGTAAAAGGGACAGCATCTGTAAGAAGAAATATACAGTGTTCTTACATGTGTTTCTAACTGCAAACAAATTTAAACTCCAAACAACTTACAGTTTTAATGCTTCAGTAACATGAGAAATTAGATACAACTTTTTTTTGTTTGTTTGTTTTTTGTTTTTTTGAGATGGAATTTCACTATTTTTGCCCAGGCAGGAGTACAATGGCACAATCTCAGCTCACCACGACCTCTGCCTTCCAGGTTCAAGCAATTCTCCTGCCTCAGCCTCCCAAGTAGCTGGGATTACAGGCATGCACCACCAGGCCCAGCTAATTTTCTATTTTTAGTAGAAATGGGGTTTCTCTATGTTGGGTAGGCTGGTCTCGAACTCTTGACCTTGGGTGATTCACCTGCCTTGGCCTCCCAAAGTGCTGGTATTACAGGTGTGAGTCATCGCACCCAGCTAGAAACAAGTTTTAACCACCAGATATTTCTGTGACCACATACTATAATAATCATTTATGAATTAATTTCATTTAGTTAAGACAATGAACCTTTAAAAAGTTTTTGTTGTTGTCGTTTTTGGGATTTTTTTTTTTTTTTTTTTGAGACGGAGTCTTACTCTGCTGCCAGGCTGGAGTGCAGTGGCACAATCTTGGCTCACTGCAACCTCCACCTCTTGGGTTCAAGTGATTCTCCTGCCTTAGCCTCCCAAGTAGCTGATACTACAGGCAAGCACCACCACCTCCAGCTAATTTTTGTATTTTTAGTAGAGACGGGGGTTTCACCATGTTGACCAGAATGGTCTCTATCTCTTGACCTCGTGATCCACCCACCTCAGCCTCCCAAAATGCTAGGATTACAGGCATAATAAAAGGGTTTTTTTTAAAGCCTGGTCTTTCTAAGATTCTCTAAAGAATACTGGGACCTTTGATGTAGTGTGAGGCAGTGACAAGAAGACAACCTCTCAGAGCCCATGTCTAGGCAAGGTTTCTTAGTTTCCTTTCCCAGAAGCAAAAATCAGTCATATTCTGTGCAATGTGCAGACACCACCCAGAACTGGACAGCTGCAGCACTACCACTTTTCTCTGGGATGTTCCCGAAGGACAGTGGGGAGGGAATATTCTTCCATGGGCAGAACCTTGAGCAGTGCACCTAGTTATGTATTTTGCTTGGAAGGAGAAATGGCCAGATATGCAATTATATGCTGATTCAGGGGCTGTAGACAATGGTTTGGTTGGATGGACAGGGGCTTGAAAGGAACATGATTGGAAATTTGGTGACAAGGAGATCTGGGGAAGAAGTATGTGGATAGATCTTTTTGAATGGGCAGAAAATGTAAAGATATTTGTGTCCCATGTGAACACACACCAAAAGATGACCTGAGCAGAAGAGGATTTTAACAACCAATTGGATAGGATGGTCCATTCTGTGGGTACCAATCAACCTCTTTCCCAGTCATCCCCCAATAGGCTCATGAGTAAAGTGGCCACAGTGGCACATACACTCATATGAATGATTCTCTTGACCACTTTATTTTCTCACTAATTCCACTATACCATTAATAAAATTTTAAAATCCTAAATAACATATTGGAATTTGACAGATTACTACTCAGACTTCGTCTCCTTAGGAATCATAAAAAATCATTCCTTAAGTTATACAGGTCCCTCACACATTTTCAATTCCAGAGCCATCATTGCCATTGCAACATTTCTGATGTGGAAATGGAAATGAATTCCACTGTTCCTTGTTACCAAAAACCTTACTAGTCCATTCAGAGTACCACACACTTCCCTTATATGGCACAACCCAAAGCTACTCTGAGCATGCGCGTAACTTAATAACACATTGGGTCACAATGCAGGAAAGCTGATCCCATTCTAGCACTTTGTCAACCATCCCAGGAAGAGGTTCAGGCTGAGGTTCAAATGCAGTGGAGAAGACACAGAAAACCTTAGGTTCTTCTGCAAAAGTTCTGGTTTCTACATAGTTATATCCTTACCAAATTAAAGGCCCCAGTGCCAAGCTTGACACCCCCTTCAAACTCATAGAAGAATTCCTGCTGAAGTTTGTTCTTCTGAATTTCGTGCAGGATAGAAAGACATTCTCTGGATTAAAGAAAAAAAAAGTGATGGAGTAAGTTGACCATGATTCTGAAAATAAATATTAAATCAAATTTTACAGTTATACATGATAAAATAAATGTCATTAATTAAAATACCATTGAAATTTTAAATGGATGATGCTGTGCTGAGTTTACTCTTAAGGATACCAGGTAATAATCATCAAGGAGAAAGGAGACACTCATTTTTACAGTGTCTAACAGGACCAGTGTTTCTGTGCTTAAGGAGAGGGCTCATCCATTAGCAAGCACCAGCCAGGAGCCACAGGGCCACAGGTTGCCATCCCACAGCTTCCGGTAGCATCTGACAGTGAACTCTCAGGGAGGGTGGGGCTCCTCAACCACTGCAAACATTGCAGCAATCTGAGGAAAGGAAATGCTACTGGCAAGAAGATCTGAATTTCAGTGTGACTGCCATCATCTAAAACAGACCAAATAAATTAGGGCTTGGGACCAGGAAAGATTGAAACAAGAAAGCAAAGGCTATCACAATGGCTCCACCTGTCCTCTGCTTTCTTCCTGCTCATCCATACAAATCTGTCCAACTTCTCACTTTAATTTATTTTCTATGTATTTCTCTCTTGCCTGTTCACATCACCTTCAAAAGGCAAATATTTAATCAGAATAATACAAATTAGAACAATGACAAAAATATAAAAATTGATAATACCTGGGAATTGCTTATCAAATTAACAATTTTTTTAAATAATAAGGAACAATGAGATATCATATATCACTTGGTATGATGCAATTATAAAATGTGCAACTACACCTGTGATACAGTCTAGCCAAACATTTTTAAATCTAAATCTAGCAAGCCTATAGACCTAACTTCCAGTTTACAAAAAAATGTAAGAGTTTAATGTTGGGCATGGTGGCTCATGCCTGTAATCCCAGCACTTTGGAAGGCTGAGGCAGGTCGATCACCTGAGGTCGGGAGTTCAAGACCAACCTGACCAACATGGAGAAACACCATCTCTACTAAAAATACAAAATTAGCTGGGTGTAGTGGTGCACACCTGTAATCCCAGCCACTTGGAAGACTGAGGCAAGAGAATCACTTGAACCCAGGAGGCGGAGCTTGCAGTGAGCCGAGATCGCACCATTGCACTCCAGCCTGGGCAACAAGAGCCAAACTCCGTCTCAAAAAAAAAAAAAAAAAAAAAAAAAAAGTAAGGGTTTAGAGAGTCAATTCAAATGTCTACCAGCCTAGGAGCATCCCTGCTGTCATTTCCCCTGAGTCATTTAGATCCCATTTCCATTTGTACTTTTTACTATGGTATATTTTGCCAAGATAAAATGATGAATGTTTATTTGGTCAGGTCAATCAATTTCTTCTGATTTCTGATTTTATGCCATGGTTAAAAGACCTTTGAAACTGACATCATGTACCTAATGATATCATTTCTATGGTATTTTTGCCATAGGTTCATATTCTGAATTTAATCATGAAGAAACACTAGAAAAGTCCATATTGAAAGATGTTCTACTAAATAACTGGCCAGTTTATTCTTTAAAATGTCAACATCATTAACGACAAAGACTGAGAAACTATTCCAGATTAAAAGAGACTAAGGAAACACAATGACTAAACACAACATCCAGGATCCTGTGTCAGATCCTGAGCCAGAAAAAGGGAACTGATGAGACAACAAGAGAAATGTGAGTAAAGACCGTGGAATAAATGTTAACACTGTGCCCATGTCAGCGTCCTGATTTTAATAACTGTACTGTGTTGCCACAGAATATTAACATTTGGCAATCTGAGTGAAGGCTATACGGAAATTTTTTGTAATAATTTTCAAATTATTTCAAAGTGAAAAAAATAAAAAATTTTAAAGCCTTTATATTTAAGAATTATTAAAATACTTTATGTTTCCTGCTAGAATTTTTAAATATTTTATTAAACCTATATGCAATTTTTTCATCTTAATGATTTTTCCCCAAAATGAACAATTTTCCCAAAAACATTTACTGAAGTATGTATCTTTCTTCACTGTTTTGAAGGGCCGATCTATATAAAGAAATTTAGTATATTTTGAATTCCCAGGTAAATGTGTGTATGCGTGTGTGTGCATGTACATACGTAAATCCATGTGCACGCACACACACACATACTGTCTCTTTTAAAACCCTGAAATCCACTTCACTGATATGTAAAGGCATACCTTGTTTTATGTCCTTCACTGTAATGCACATTGCAGGCATTGTATTTTTTACAAATTGAAGATTTGTGGCAACCCTGTGTTGAGCAAGTCTATTGATGCCATTTTTCCAACAATATGTGCTCACTCTGTGTTTCAACGTCACATATTAGTATTTCTCACAAAATTTCCAAATTTTTCATTATTATTGTATCTGTTAGTGGTGATCCGTGATGGAAGATCTTTAATGTTACTACCACTGTAATTGTTTCAGGGTGCCATGAACCGCACACATATAAGACAGCGAAAGTTATGAATAAATGTTGTGTGTGTTCTGACGGCTCTACTGACTGGCTATTCCCCCATATCTCTCCTCCGCAGGCCTCCCTATCCCCTGAGACAAAGCAATATTGAAATTAGGCCAACTGGTAACCCTACTGTGGCCTCTAAGTGTTCAAGTGAAATGAAAAGTTGCACCTCTCTCACCTGAAATCAAAAACTAGAAATAATTAAGCTTAGCGAGGAAGACATGTCAAAAGCCAAGACAGGCCGAAAGCTAAGCCTCTTGTTTCAAACAGTTAACTTGTAAGTGCAAAAGAAAAGTTCTTGAAAAAAAATTAAAAGTTCTATTTCGGTGAAGGCACAAATGGTAAGAAAACAAAACAGCCCGACTGCTGATGTGGATGGAGAAAGCTGGAGTGGTCTGGATAGAACAAACCACCCACAACACTCCATTAAGCCAAAGCCTAATCCAGAACAAGGCCCTAACTCTTCAACTCTATAAAGGCTGACAGAGGGGAGGAAGCTGAAGAAAAAAAAAGTTGGAAGCGAACAGAGGTTGGTTCATGAATTTAAGGAAAGACACCATCTCTATAAAATAAAACTGCACAGAGGCCCACGCCTGTAATCCTCGCACTTTGGGTGGCTGAGGCAGGTGGATCACAAGGTCAGGAGATGGAGACCAGCTTGGACCAAGCATGGTGAAACCCCGTCTCTACTAAAAATACAAAAAATTAGCTGGGCATAGTGGCGCATACCTGTAGTCCCTGCTACTCGGGAGGCTGAGGCAGGAGAATCGCTTGAACCCGGGAGGCAGAGGTTGTAGTGAGCCGAGATTGCGCCACGGCACTCCAGCCTTGGAGACAGAGCAAGACTCAATCTCCCTCCCCGCAACAACAACAAAAAGGTACAAAGTGAAGCAGCAAGTGCTTATGAAGAAGTTGCAGCAAGTCACCTAGAGTATCTAGCTAAGATCACCGATGAAGGTGGCTGCACTAAACAACAAATGTCCAATGCAGACAAAATGGCCTTCCACTGGAAGAAGATGCTATCAAGAACTTTCATATCTAGGGAGAAGTCAAAGCCTGGCTTCAAATCATCAAAGGTCAGGGTGACTCTTGTGAGGGGCAAATGGAACTGGTGACCTTAAATAGAAGTCAATGTTCATTTATCATTCCAAATAGCCTAAGGCCCTTAATAATTGTGCTAAATCTACTCTGCCTGTGTTCCATAACTAAAACAACAAATCCTGATGATAGCACATCTGTTTACAGCATGGTTTACTAAATACTTTAAGCCTACTGTTGAAATCCACTGCTCAGAAAAAAAAGATTTATTTCAAAGTCTTATTGCTCATTAACAATGTGTCTAGTATCCCAAGGGTTCTGAAGGAGATGTATGAGAGGATTACGTTGTTTTCACACTTGCTAACACAACATCCATTTGCAGCCCAGGGATCAAGGAGTAATTCTGACTTCCATGTCTTATTTAATTAGTATATTTTATAAGGCTATTGCTGCCATGGTGATTCCTCTGATGGATCCAGGGAAAGGAAATTGAAAACCTTCTGGAAAGAATTCATCATTCTAGATGTCATGGAGAACATTCATGATTCATGGAAGAAGATCAAAATGTCCACATTAACAGGAGTTTGGAAGTTGATTTCAACCCTCACAGAACATTTTGAGAGGTTCAACTTTGGTGGAGAAAGTAACTTCAGAGGTGTTAGAAACAGCAAGAGAACTAGAATTACAAGTGGAGCCTGAAGATGTGACGGACTGCTGCAATCTCATGATAAAACTTTAATGGATGAGGAGTTTCCATTTATGGATGAGCAAGAAAGTAGATTCTTGAGATGAAATCTACACCTGGTAAAGATGCCATAAACATTGTTGAAATGACAACAAAGGACTTGGAATATTAGATAAACTTAGTTGATAAAGCAGCAGCAAGATTTAAGAGCATGGACTCTAATTTTGAAAGACATTCTCCTGTGGGTAAAATGCCATCAAGCAGTATTTCATGCTACAAAAAAATCTTTTATGAAAGGAAGAGTCAATAGGTATGGCAAACTTCATCATTGTCCTTTTTTAAAAAATTGCCATAGCCACCCCAGCCTTCAGCAACCACTACCCTGAATGTCAGAAGCCATCAACAAGGAGGTAAGACCTCTACCAACAAAAAGATTATGACTTGCTGAAGGCTTGGATAATTGTTAGCATTTTTTTTTAGCAAAACAGTATTTTTCAATTAAGGTATGTATATTTTTTAGATATTATGGTATTGGCAGACTTAATAGAATACAGTACAGTAGCAATGTAACTTTTATGTGCACTAGGAAACCAAACGCTTTGTGTGACTCACTTTATTGCAATATTCACTTTATTGTAGTGGTCTGGAACCCACACTATCTCTGAGGTATACCTGTATGTCTTTGCCTCTATAGGCCTGTTTTAATTCCTTTAGTATTTTTAAGTTTTGATGACTAAAACAGCAATTAACATTGAATTTAACATTTGCTTATATCTTCTAAAAATATTTCACAAAGAAATCTATAAACAGCATGTCAGGTATCCCAAATCTACCACCCGCTTCCAGGATTTTGAGTAAAACACAATTTTGTGAAAGGATTTTCAGTGAAAGTACCTCTTAAAATACTAAATTTTGGTTCTACTACCAGTAACAGCAGGGTAGCGCTTATGTCAGATTAACTTTCCCACAAATAAATGTTATAAATTCTGGAAAAATATAAAATACACATTTAAAATATATTTTTACAAAGTTTATAAACAAAGGGGGCAAGTCTCAGGAGAGAAGAAAGTAAGAAAGGGGCAGAAAAAAAGTTTGAAAAATTACAACCAGAAATTTCTCAAAATCACACTTAGGCACAACATAGTCAAACTGCTGACACCCAAAGGTGCAAACTAGTCAGTCTTCAAAAAGGCCAGAAGAAAAGACACATTACATATAGGAGAACAATAATACAAATGAAAACTGACTTCTAATCATGAATAACAGAGGACTGAATACAATAGGAAGGCAGTTTTAAAGGGCTGAAAGAAGGAAAAAAACCCATCGACTCAGAATACTACAGTTAGCAAAAATAAACTTGAAAAGAAAAAGTAAAAAGTAAATATATTTTCAGATAAATGAAACAGAATTTGTTGAAAACTGACACGCTATAAGAAATGCTGAAGGAAGTTCTTCAGTCTGAAAGTAAACAGGAAATACATTTACCATTTTGAATAGGAAAACCAGAAATGGTAAGAACGTGAATAAAGAGAGAGATGACGACAACATTTCCTGATGAACCTTCAGCAACAGTATTGTTGCTGACCCTGTATTGTAGGGTTTATAACATCTGTAAGTGTGCTAAACATCATAAAAACAGCATAAAGGACAAAATGTGGTAAATGAAGCAATACTTTTTCAAAGTGTTTACAATTTATGTCCAGTGCTACAATATTAACTCTAAGTTGACTATAGTAAGTTAAAAGGAATATTATAAACACTAGAGCAACCCAAAAAAATTAGAGAGTACAACTAAGAGAACAACAGTTTTACAAATGTTATGAAAGCAAAAGACGACAGGAAGAAAGGGGGAGGCAACAGATAAGGCAAAGAGAAAAAGCAAAATGGTAGTCACAAGTGCAAACACATCAATTGTCCAACTACGTGCATCTACAGGAAATACAATCTAAATATTTAAAGACACAATTTAAATATGAAAACAAAGAAAGGTTTAAAGTAAAAGAACACACACCATACAAAGACTGATTATAAAAAGCATGAGGGCTTATATGAATACCAGACAAAATAGATTTCAAGACAAGGAATATTACCAGAGTTAAGCAGAGACATTTCAAGACGATAAAAAGGTTAATTAATTAGGAAGACAGAACAATTATAAATACATAGGATATGTGCCTAACAACACAGCTCCTAAATATATGAGGCAAACACTGACAGAACTAAAGGAAAAAAAGGATGACTCCAGATTCAAACTTGGAGACTTGAACACTCTGAGTAAATAACAGACAACTAGATAAAAATCAATAAGGGGCCAGGCAAGGTGACTCACACCTGTAACCACAGCACTTTGGGAGGCTGAGGCAGGCGGATCATGAGGTCAGGAGTTCAAGACAAGTCTGGCCAACATAGTGAAACCCCATCTCTACTAAAAATACAAAAAATGAGCCAGGTCTAATAGTGTGCACCTGTAATCTCAGGTACTCGGGAGGCTGAGGTAGGAGAATCATGTAAACCCAGGAGGCGTAGGTTGCAGTGAGCCGAGATTGCACCATTGCATTCCAGCCTGGGCAACAATGCTGAGACTCCGTCTCAAAAAAAAAAAAAAAAAAAAAATTAATAAGGATATGAAGAACACTATGGCCATATCAGTCCAGCATTTCCATCCACTGCAGAAAGGTCTACTGGGTAGTGCTGCTCTGGACTCTGAATCAAAGATATTACTGTAATTTTAAATTTATAAATTGTTCTAAGGAGAGAGAAACTAAAATTATTTAATCAGAAATTATGTCAGTAGCTTTATTTTCAGCTAATTTGCTCTTAAAATTGTATTTAAACTTAAATTCTGTTGTCCTGCAACACTAAATATACACTTAGCAAAAAATCAAGTTCATTTTTACCAACACCAAATAAAAAATCCTAGTCAAACTTAATGTATGAGAACTGTGAAGAACAAAGGAGTATACAGCACCAAATTATTTAAAAAGCCACATCTTACTTTTTGACTTACTTATATATTTGGTAACTTGTTCTAATTTTGAGTCCACCTTTGATGAAGTTGATCATATTTTCATCCTAAAAATAATTCAGTTAAAAAATTAGATTATTTTGCAAAAAATTTTAAATTGCCCCCACAGTTGCGTGTTTGTGTGATTAGGAAAAAAAAAGTATCTTGATAACATAATTTTGAAATTAACACATACGCTTGTTTTACATTTAAAAGGTTTTAGGGTAATTTTTCTTCCATGTTAGAGGACAACAAAAAGAAAATATTCATAAAATATTTGATTATTTTATTTATTTGATTATTTTATATTACTAAGGAGGTAATCCTCACCAATTGGGGCCATATGTGGTCCAAATTATTTTAATAAACATTGACACCTACTGAGCAATTTTCTTCTGGGTTTAATAGAATCCAGAATGGATGACTTTAAAAATCTGCTCTAAGGTCAACCCTTCCAGTATATCATACCCAGTAAATAGAACAACGGTTCTTCTTTCACACAGTACCTTAGCAGAGTCTATTTAATGTTGCGAATTTTACTCATACACATTTCCAGGCCCAAAATAACTGGTCTGGCTTCTGAAGTGGCTGTCACTACTATGCAATTTTGCTTTAGGAAAACAAAACCACTTCAGCTCTCTTTATCTGATGGTCATCGACCACAAAACTGAGGCAGCTGTTCTCGATGAATGGCATTTTCTGGGTCAGCATTCTAGGATCCTAAGACAATCTCTCAATAAATTACATCAAATAACCACTTGAAGGAAGTTACCCTAATAGATGGTACTAGTGAAGACAGTCCTACGTTTTGCATTTCCAGAAAGTTTTTTTAATCTATTGAGATCAGAAAGATGCTCTTATATGTATTTCTCATGTACTTAAGCATCCTTATGTAGCAAAAGAAAAACTGAATTTATTTTACTAATGTCATTAATCACTTAAATATGCAATGTTCCAATTATTATAAGAATCAATAGATATAAAATTCAACATTTATCTTAATTTAAAGAATCTTATGGTTACATAAGATCCAATACCAACCAGAAAAGAATTTCTTAAATTAGCTTTAAATATGCCTCAGAAAACCCCCATATTTCAGGATTCATCAAACGTAAACTTAATGCCTATTTTATACCAGGCACCCACATGCAAAAACAGACGAAAGTAATGTAATATGTTAAGGGAGAGCGTCATGCACAGGGGCAGGGTCACACACAGGGACTGAGTCACGCACAGGGGCAGGGTCATGCACAGGGGCGGGGTCACACACAGGGACTGAGTCATGCACAGGGGCGGGGTCACACACAGGGACTGAGTCATGCACAGGGGCGGGTCACACACAGGGACTGAGTCATGCACAGGGGCGGGGTCACGCAAAGGACGTCATGAGAACACAAAGTAGTGGCATGGAGGGGGCCAGAAATGTCTCCTGGAAGCATTGGTGCTTTAAACACAAAAATAATTAGAAACTGACCAGGTGTAGAAAGGCAAAGCAGACATGAACTTTGTAAGCAAAGTAAAACTCAAGTGGAAAGACAGGGTGCAATTAAGGATCATGTTGGGTTTGGCCATGTGTGCATATGCAATTCCGCACTGCTGAAGAATCTATTGCAAAGAGAACAACCGCGGAGTTAAGACGGTTACCTCCACCCATGCTACTCAAGTATGCAACCCCATCAGTGGCATCCAAGGACACCTGTAAGGTAGTGGGGTAGGGAATATGGAGAGGAGGTACTAGTTTTGTTTGAAAAAGTACCTCCCTCATTTGTGATATTCTGACACAGAATACTGCCATAGTCAGTAAGAGCTACTGAATGCTGAAGCAGACAAGTGACCAGGTCAGAGTTTCCTTTTTAAGAGGGTACTCAACCCTCAACTGCAGAATAGGGAATGAGCTGAAGGCAAAAGAAATTAGAAAGGGAGATTCACTAGGTTGATGTCAGTCAAGCAAAGAGTGGATAAGCACCTCTACTAGACCAATGATAGGAAGAGATGGAACTGCACAATCTTTAAAAGGCTAAAGCAGCAAGAATATAAAAATGATTGGGTGGGAGGCATGAGGAAGAGGGGACAATCATGGCTATCTCTTTAATTTCAAGTCCCCAAATATAAAATAAGCCTTCAAATCCCAGATTTGATCGCCAAATCCCAGTTTGGAAAACAAAAAAACTTGGGCCTCCATGACTATCATTATGATGCTTACTGAGGCAATGCTGCTATCAACCAGCCTTTGTAATGGGTGGGCTTTAGAAAACAGGGTCATGGGCTACACTGATTTAGTTTTACTAAACCAGAATCCAACCTAAGAGGTAAACCTCCAGGAAAAGAAAGAAGCAACTGTCAAATAACTGTGGCTGGGTGCAGTGACCCGCACCTATAATCCCAGCACTTTGGGAAGCTGAGGCAAGTGGAACCTGAGGTCAGGAGTTTGAGAACAGCCTGACTAATATGGTGAACCCCTGTCTCTACTGAAAATACAAAAATTAGCCGGCACAGTGGCACATGCCTGTAATCCCAGCTACTTGGGAGGCTGAGACAGAAGAACCACTTGAACCTGGTAGGTGGACATTGTAGTGAGTCAAGATCGCGCCACTGCACTCCAGGCTAGGGGAAAGAGTGAGGTTCCATCTCAAAAAGAGACAATTGTGATTGAGGAAGATTTTCCATTTTACAGTTGAATTTCTTTCTGATTTCTTACACTCTCTACCCCACTTCACCCTTACTGTAGCTATCACTATCACCCATGAGGCCATAATGTGAAAAGGTATGTTTTACAGAAGCATTGGAAGATACAGAAATAGGCGAAGTACTGACTGTACCAGTTCCCAGAGGTGCAATTAAAATGTCGCATAAGAAAAGGATTAACTGTTTAGTGACTTTTTAAAACCACTCTTCCAAAGGAAGAAATAAAAGAAAGGAGAATGAGAATAGAAAGAAGGGGAAAAATAAAATTTGAAGTATACATTAACTTTCTATGCATGTACAAGTGAACTTGACTGAGGCATGTGGTGTAGAGGGGACACCTCCTCTGCCTGGGCCACTCCCAGGCACAGCCTCTCCCAGCAGAAAGTGCAAAGGGGAATATTCTCTATTTTCACACAGATGCATCTTGAAATTAAATGTGTCAGCTGCAAAGCAATTTCTTTAAAGTTTCTTTTTGAGACCGAGTCTTGATCTGTCACTCAAGCAGGAGGGCAGTGGTGCAACCTCAGCTCACTGCAATCTCTGCCTCCCAGGTTCAAGTGATTTTCCTGCCTCAGCCTCCTGAGTAGCTGGGATCACAGGCATGCACCGCCATGCCTGGCTAACTTTATTTATTTTTTTAATTTTTAGTAGTGATAGGGTTTCATTATGTTGGCCAGGCTGGTCTCAAACTCCTGACCTCAGGTCATCCTCCTGCCTCAGCCTCCCAAAGTGCTGGGATTAAAGGCATGAGCCACCACGCTCAGCCTAAACTTTCTTTAAAGACACAGTCTTTAAAGGGCAATGATTCCCAGTGTAGTGATTTGAAATAGATTCTTAAGTGCAGTAGAGGGGGAACAAAGCTCTCTAGCATCTTTCTTCAGCCAAAGCTTACCAGAATAACAATATTTTTCTTTACAATTCTAAGTCAAAAAAATTGAAGCTTGGACATAGAATGCGCCACATATTTCTATGCAGCACTGGCAGTCTTCCCAGCCAATATGTATTCTAAGCCAAATATTCATTACCTGCACAAACGTGAGTGCTGCTTTCTGTAGGAGACACTCGGCATAACAGATTTCAGCATGCATTTCCTCTATTAAAAACAAATACAGTTATATTAAGTAAAATCCCACATCCAAAGTGATTGCTCTATGATGTTCAGGAAAGACTGGCAGATAAATGAACCCAAGGGAGACCCCAAAACTTAGATCAACCTTGTACATCCATAAAAGTGGAATGATGACCCCAGTTTTCACTTGTCAGCAAGATTTTCCTGGAATGTGTGAAATGTTCAGGGAAGTCATCCCATTTAAACATAACTGCAAAGAGTCAGTCACTTGGTGTTGGAGACCCAAACTCAGCTCACAAGAGGAAATGAACATTTAAAAGCACTTTCTTAAAATGGGAAACCATGTATTGTTTAAATTAATAGTAACATAAAACTTTAACATGGTTTTAAAAATAAAAAAAAAACTGGCCAGGCACAGTGGCTCACTCCTGTAATCCCAGCACTTTGGGAGACTGAGGCAGGCGGATCACGAGGTCAAGAGATAGAGACCATCTTGGCCAACATGGTGAAACCCTGTCTCTACTAAAAATACAAAAATTAGCCAGGCATGGTGGTACATGCCAGTAGTCCCAGCTACTTGGGAGGCTAAGGCAGGAGAATCCCTTGAACCCAGGATGTGGAGGTTGCAGTGAGCCAAGATCACACCACTGCACTCCAGCCCAGGTGACAGTGTGAGACTCTGTCTTAAAAAAAAAATTGAAAAACAAACTGAATTATGAATGCTAGCTTCTAAAATATGAAGGTTTGGTAACCATGACGCTAACCATACACATTAGCTACCTGAAGAGACAGCAGGAATTCTCTAGAGTTCTTTCTATGAAGAAGAAATGCCCTGACTGCCCAAGTTAAGTCTCCTCACACATGAAGACCTGGTATCAGAAGAGGTAGCACGATCCCAGTTTTGGGCTACTTTGATCATGTAGAAGTCTAGCACAAAAACAAGGTACTCACAAAAAGGGGCTAGGTGAAGCTCTGCGCATCCTAGGGACCTGTGGAGTACCCCAAAACACACATCCTAGCTTCCCAACAATCCACTATACTTGCAGAGAATGGAGAGACAAGTCTTTCCTTTTTTCCATAAACAAGTCAGCAGATTCTTGCTCTATCCACAGGATGCAAATTGGCATGATAGTTAAGCAAATGAGCCTGGGGTATTCAATAGCCTGGGCTGCTAAAAAGGCTCTGCCATGTACTGGCTATAGGACCTCGTCCCCTCTCTACTGGTTTACACATTTATAAGGCCACTAATACCACCTCTAGTTCACAGCTGAAGGATCAAATGAGTTGCTGCATGTAGAGCTCACGATACAGAGTGTAACTGTATCACTGAGATCACTGTCCTTGATCTACCACTGCTCTTACGTAAAAGCTCAGAAAGCAGAAAGCATTTTTATGTGGAATGTGACTGAAAATAGGTTATTTCTGTATTATTGGGATTACTGCTAAATAGACTTAGATGACGACTAGTGCTTTCTTGCACTCACACACACAGATCCCACCCTCACCCTACACACATACAACCCACTGGTTCTCACAAAGTGGTTCAAGTTCCTGCCATGCTCATATTCCAAATGTTTAATTTACAAAAAAAGCACCTCTGCAGCTAAGGTCTTCAACAGCACACAGAGAGATGGGGCCAAACCCAGGACAGGCCAAACTTGAGGAGTTATAGCCTACACATTCTGGCAGCATCCACAGTCACCTTCAGAACACCTCTCCTCAAAGTGTGCCCATTGATTTTCCAGCTGTGATCAGTGGGATACCAACCGGTAATTTACTTTTACACAGTCACCTGAATATCCTCTTCCTAGGTAATTCTGTAACGGCGTGAGAATCAGGAATTATTAGCTCTGAAAGTCTGCTTAGGAATACAGACTGCTGGCTCGGGGTACATGCAGAGGGGATGAAGTCCATGGTGCTGATGGCGAAGGGAGAGTCGGGGAGAGAGGGGTAGTGGAGGGGGCGGTGGAGGGAAGTGTGTCAGTAACAGAAGCAAGGAAAGCCCAGAGCACCTTCAGAAAAAGCCAGTCAAGGGAGCAGAGGGCAATGAGGCTGGAAGGGTAAGTTGAGGCTCAATTATAAATGGCCTTGAATGTTAGAGTCTACACTTGATCAGGAGGCAACAGTGAGTCAGTCCTTACAGCGATCCGAGCAGACAGGTGGGCAGATCAGGGTTAAGTGAAAGATGAACAAATCTAAGAGTGGCAAAAGGGATGTGACGAGAAGGCAGACAGAAAAGGCAGAAAATAAGCACCCTTCATATTAAATCCCTTTCACATGCTAGGTACTCACTGCACTTAAATATCTGTTAGTAAAGGCAATTTGAAACCCATTTGGGGCAATCCACCAGCCACAAGAGAAAAGAACTAGTATGTTCCATGTTAAACCCATGAAAAGTTTAATGAAATATACTCACTCCTGTAGACAACCAGACACTCAAGGATGTAAATGAAAATTACATTAAAATTAAAGAGGAAAAACAAATCACACACTAAAGCTACAATGTTTTGACATGCTCCCTCGAACACAAAGTCTGTTTGGGTTGCAGTTGACAGCCAAACTCCTAAGAATAAAATACAGCTTGATTTATAAAAGTCTTATTCTTTCACTGTGGCTGATTTACATCGCATAGTTCTTTAGTTCTCAAAATTAGCCATTAGGCACTTATAAGTAGGTAACTACCAGGAATATCTCTTAATTATAAATTCCTTAGTCCACAGGAGTAAATATCTTCATGATGCACTGAAATAATGTTAGCTAAGCACAGCCTTTAGATATAAAAATCTAAATAAACCTGTATTTCAGAATAGGCTATAGTCCCAAGCTAGTTTATTTTATTTTTATTTATGTAGAGAAAGGGTCTTGCTCTCTCACCCAGGGTGGAGTACAGGGGCATGATCTCAGCTCACTGCAACCTCTGTGATATGGTTAGGCTTTGTGTCCCCACCCAAATCTCACCTTGAATTTTAATCCCCACCATGTCTGCATGTCAAGGGTGGGACCTGGTGCGAGATGACTGGATCATGGGGTGATTTCTCCCATGCTGTTCGTGTGACAGTGAGTGAGTTCTCAAAAGATCTGATGGTTTTACGTGTCTGACAGTTCCTCCTACATGCACTTCTCCTCCTGCTGCCTCATAAAGAAGGTGCCTTGCTTCCTCTTTGCCTTCTGGCATGATTATAAGTTTCCTGAGGTCTCCCCAGCCATGCAGAACTGTTGAGTCAATTAAACCTCTTTCCTTTATAAATTACCAAGTCCTGGGCAATTCTTTATAGCAGTATGAAAACGGATTAATACACTCCACCTCCTGGGCTCAAGGGATCTTCCCACCTCAGCCTCCCAAGTAGCTGCAATTACAGGCACAAGCCACCATGCCCAGCCTATTTTTTATAATTAGTAAAAAGTAATTTTCTACTGTATTCCAGATTTCCTAAAGTGTCATTGTTCAAAGACATTATAAAAACATAACAATACAGTATCATCTATTTTCAAGATGACTAACATAGAAATAATTCAGTATTTCCTTCATCCATATATAACACATTTTGTGCTCTTCTCTACTCGCCTACAGGAGAAAGTGTGGGTTACAGTGGAAAGAGTTGTGGCTTAGGGAAAGGCAGATGATCAGTTAACCCTACTTTGCTGGGTGGGGAACCCTGACCATTTGTTTACATCTCCAATCAGTTCCTAGTCTATGAAGAGGAGGTTAGATTAGTTAATGTTAAGAAAAGCATCAAGGACAGTATATGGCACATACAGGGTGCTTTTTTATAATGGAGCATTCTCATCTTATTTTTCAAATTATTATTATTTATACTCATACAAAAAATACCATGCCACTCATGCCAAAACTCAGGTAAAAATAATCTCAAATATCTGCCTTCATACTATAAGGAAAAAGGGAGGCTTCCCACTGGAGGGAAGCCATAGGGAGGGTAACAGAAAGGAGAATACAACAAAAAAGTTCAATTTCTTTTGGGCCTATTTGATTTCTCATTAACCCACATTGGTGAACATTAGGTCTAATGGAACCAATTTACATAAGCGGCCCAAAGATGTAAAATATGTAGACATATTCTATCCAAAGTCAAAGGGATAAACGAATTCTTAAAAATAGTGGGAGGTCAGTTTCTAGAGAAAAAGATTATGGGTTTCAGCTGCCTAGAGTGACCAATGAAATGCCATTCTGTTTGACCGTGGTTTTGGGGTCAACATCATGCCCCTTTGAAACAAGTCCCAAAGATGTGATTTGTCTCATAATTCCTCTCCTATAATCAGTACTCTAGCTTCACATCATGCAAATGTTCCCAACATAACACTTTGATAATACTCATCTAACAAAATAAACAAAACTTCCTAATAAAACACACTGAAAAATGTGTCTGCCATACACCTGACAATTAGAAACAACTCTGACAGCAGTATCCAGAATTGCTCTTGCTCTCATCAGCCAAAGCTACTTCTAGTATTTTGTGTTACCTCTTCAGAGAACACGTTTGACAATGATAATGCAGGCACAGATTCTCCTGGGATGGCAAAAGCTTTATTCTACAATGGTCACATTTGAAGGACATTTTTTTTTCTTCTACAGGAATATCTAGATGTTCCTTTCTTTCTAACTATTCTGACTAGAGTGTAACACTGAAAAGACAGAGGCAATCTTGAACCTTCTGCCCTAGTCCCAGGGGGCACATCGAGCAATTGACAACAACAGTGGTCATTTCCTGCCATCCATCTGATCAGGGTGCTGCAGCTGGCCATTCCTGGATTCTCGAGTATTCCTAAATGTCCACAAACCAAACGCCTTCTATACTGTGAAACATTATCTTTTTTAAAAAAGATATCAAAATTACTTTCACCTTGAAAAAAATTGTAATAGCTTGTGGAAAATTAATTCTCAAAGATGAATGGTAAGAATATAAACTGTCCTATATCTTTGGAGAAAAAAAAAGTGACAATATCTATAAATATTGTAAATTTTCAAACTGTCAGTCCTGGTAATTCTACTTTTAGGAATCCAGCTTACGAAATACTTTTTAAGATGCAAAAGGATTCTAGGACAGCATTATTTATAACAGTGAAAAAATAAAAACAAAAGAGAAAATCCAAGTACAATACACCAATCCTATGGAATACCACACAGCTGTTAAACACACAAACATAATGACCTGAGAAAATGTCAGTGTCAAATTCACACTGTAGGGCAACACCTATTATGTGATTCTATGCTTGCAAAAAACAAAAACAATCCATCAGCAACAACCAAAACCCTAGGTGTACCTTATTTATGTATTTGAGTATGTACACAGAAAAGTCTGCAAGGCTTATACTTCTGGAGGGTGAGTATGATAAGGAAGAAAACAAGGCATTCCATTTACTTTATACGCTTCAGTATGGAATTCTATGAGATAAACATTTTTTAATTTTTAAAATCAAGGGAAAAAGTGATCTTTTAAATGACTCTTACCTTCACTCAGTTGCTCCAGTGATCCTCTAGAAAGAAGACTTGAGAAAGAGTCTACAACTGTGTATTTTTTCCTGTATCTACATTGAATAAACAGAAAGAGAGATAGAAAATGGAAAAAGAAAGTATCAGGCTGAGCTCATTTTCATTTAACATTCATTTCTTTTTGACCAGAGAGTCAAAAAGCTGAAACCCTAAACCCTGAAGTCTGTAGGACACAGACCATCTTTTTCCAACACTCTCCTCTCAGCACTGGCTAGCCACTTGTGGGAACTCAGTCTGTTACTAAACACCACACATGGGGAAACCCTCACACACCAGTGAAAACTAACCTGCAAAGTACTTTCCCTTATCCCTGTAACTAAATCAGTATTAGTGGCAAAATTCTCCACAGGTTAAATATGAAGTTAAAGTGCAATATTTGGAAGCTCTCTTCATTTGAGGAGCTTACAACACAATTACATCAGGATGTAATTTCACCCATGTTAACCTTCTGATCATGAACCTTCTGCCCCAATCCCAGGGGGCACATCAAGTAATTGATAGCAAGTGGGGTCATTTCCTCCCATCCATCTGATCAGGGTGCCACAGCTGGCCATTTCTGGATTCTCAAATATTCCTAAATGTCCACAAACCAAGCATCTTCTATACTGTGATACATTTATCATTTTTTAAAAATATCAAAATTACTTCCACCTTGAAAAAAAATTTTGATAGGGTCTTCCTATACACACAGAGTAAAGCTTAAAATAAAACTAAAAACCTATCTCATTTTCCCCAAACAGAAGTGTTCAAAAAGAGGTTCTTCTTAAACATATAAAACATCCCCTCATGAATTTGCATCTCTCACTTAAAAAAAGAATGCTCCTTGCGTGGCTTGGTTTGGCATGCAGTAATACCTAATGTCATCCACCTTGACAGATGCTTGCTTCTAATCCCACTGAAATTCCACCCTCTCCACCCCAGGGCTCTGTAGTTCAGACCCCAGGCTACCAAAAAGAAAAGTGGAATAATATAGATGCCAAACGGGAATCCTTCAGCTCCGAGGCTGAAGTCCTTTTCTGTAACTATGGCCAATTTCAAACACAGAGCTCTTGGTCAGGCAAATGACATTATTTTTGTCACACAGGCATAAAGGTCTGCAGTCCCATCTCAAGCAGTTGATGACTCATCATACTTTTGGCAGGTTTGTAAAGCGTCCTTCATGGCAGAAATGCCATTTTGGATGTCCTGTTGCTCGAAGGTCAGGACAGCCTGCAACACCACAATGGTACTGTAGCCCAAGGCATGGTACATACTCTCCTTAGCCCTGGGGAGAACAGAGGAAATTCAGACATTTTAATTCAATGGAAAAACACCCCGTTTTATCTGATACTGATCATAAGAAATTCTAGTAAATGCATGTCCTGACTTGCACAGTAACTGTTATTCCTTCGCCATAATCATAGAAATTATATGGGCAGTGAAAACCTCTAAAGAATTCACGTACCAAGGACTTTCCAATGTAAACCCACTCAGGCAGAACAAAATGTTCAGATTGAAGTGGACAATATGCATTTCCCTATTTCAACACAAGAGGGCAGCCTGCAGGCAGATTGCAAACAAACCAACTGTTTTCTGTTGAAAAAGGGGCAGCATACCACCTTCGGCTCTGAAATAAGGGCTACAATAAAGTCTGCTGGGAAATGTAATTTTTTGACAGAGATTCTGATACATTTTATCAAAAATAAAGGCTAATTTAAAATCATCCCTCTCCTGTCCAGCCAAAGGCCAAGATGAAACAAGATTTTGGAATAAGTTAGACTGGTCACAAGGCCTCTGACCAAAGTAGATATCAGACCTTGTATCTAACTCCAACTCCATTATCTGAGATTCCTGATCAAGTTCTTGATACTTCAAATCATCAAGTTACAGTGAGAACTGCTTCAGGATACTTAAGGATGTTAATTAGCCCTAAAGGACGGCAGACATCCAGATTCTCTGGCTGTGAGAACATCATCATTTATTTTCCAAACCTTCTTAAGCTGCATTCATTATTTATAAGGTTTAAAATAGTAATGCATGGTTTTGTTTTTAATTTCAATATTAATGCATAATAGCCTGCTACCATGCAGAACAAATGCAAGCCACATTATTCTTTGCCCCCATGGAAATAGTCTAAACATCCTTTGGTAAATTGCAGCTTGTCCTGAATATTGAGGGCACTATCTGTTCAAAAGAACCACAAGGAATCAGAGCAGCCCAAAGTTAATCATTAATTGTGGTTTCAAACCTCACATTTTTAACTGAAAGCCTGTTCAAGAAGCCAAAAAATGATTCAAGTGAGGAAAAAGTTTTTGGGTGTTTTGCTTTTTTTGAGATGGAGTTTCACTCTTATTGCCCAGGCTGGAGTGCAATGACACAACCTCAGCTCACCGCAACCTCCTCCTCCTGGATTCAAGCAATTCTCCTGCCTCAGCCTCCTGAGTAGCTGGGATTACAGGCATGTGCCACCATGCCCGGCTAATTTTGTATTTTTAGTAGAGATGGGATTTCTCCATGTTGGTCAGGGTCTCAAACTCTCAACCTTAGGTGATCTGCCCACCTTGACCTCCCAAAGTGCTGGGATTACAGGCATGAGCCATTTTAACAGCAAAACATGTACAAAAATCGGAGACTAGAATCATTCAGTACTGACTGAATACAGTACTAAATCATTTATTTTCATTCCATATTATGACCAGCTGGGTGTCAGTGGCAGAGAAGGACTTGTTTGAATAAAAATCAAAGAAGATAATGGGTACAAAAATACAGTTAAATAGAAGAAATAACTTTTAGTATTTAATAATAGAGAAATTAGTTAATAATTTATTGTATATTTCAAAATAGCAAGAAGAGAAAAATTATAAATGTTCCTGACACTAAGAAAAGATAAATGTTTGAGGTGATAGATAACCCCGTTACCCTGATTGATCATTGCACATTATATACAGGTATCGAATTATCAAATGTACCCCAAAAACAGGTACGGCTATGACTCATCAATAAAAACATTAAAAACCCAAAGAAGACAGGCAGGTAGCCGGAGAAAAGAGACCGAAGGAGAGATGAGAGAGGGAAAGACCAGCAGACAGAGAAGACAAAGGTAGGTAGACACAGAAGACAGAGAAATCTGAGGGACTGAGAAGGACAGGGAGAAAGGCAGGGGACAGGCAAGGTGGAGACTGTGAGACAAACGTTGAAGATCACACCAGAAAATCTCTTCAGACTACAGGGCTTCACCATTGGTTTCATCATTTGTTCTTAACCTGTGAAATGACAGCTGACCCATCTTGATTACAGCTATTTTAAATCTTAACAGAATTACCATAGCAGCTCCTCAGCAGGTCAATTAATCTCTAAGATTCAAATGACCAGAGTCCAGCCACCCTGGTGACCACTCCAAGTAAGGAATGAGATTGCCCACTTTTGTGCCCAAGTAATCTTCTAGAAAATTATTATATGAGGTCTAAGCTTCATTTAAGAAAGTGTTGGAGGGCATACAAGATTATTCTCGTCAAAACAAAGGCCAAGTAAACAGGCAAGCACAGGTTTTGGTGCCACATTTGAAAACTTAATAGGTATTACTGAGATAAAATTGCTTATTTGTCGAACAAATAGAGAACCTCAATAATACTCTTATTATCTTAAATTTATTTTTAGCATTGAGATCAGTATATTCTGGTTCTTCCCCTCCCCATTTCAAAGGAAAATTTTTTCAATAATACTTAAAAGGACAATCATAAAAATATTTTACTGAAGAAAGCGAAATTGAAGCCTTATAAAACTACATAAGACGACACAATCTGAACAAGGAGATTAAAATATGTGAAACAATCAGAAATTTTCTACTAATTATATTTGAAAACTCAGATTTCTAAACTGATTATTAAAAGCAACTAAAGTAAGGAGGTCTCAACTAACTTAGCTAATAAATATTCAAATGGAACAGATAAATTAATTTACAAGCATGATATCAAGCCATCATCAGAAACATCTGAAAAATATTTTATCTAAAAGACACAAAATAAATTACCAGGGGCGAAGCAATTCTAAGGCATCTGTAAATTTGTTACTTAGAAATAAGTTCAATGCCACAGCACATTCTTCAAGGCCACTTTTGAGATCCACCTTGGTTGATGATGAACTAAAGATCAAGAAAAAAACACAGAGAATTTCTATAGCTTTTACCATCAGCATGTTGTCCCTAGCGGGGGTGTGTGTGTAAATTCTGGAGACAGGACAGGGTGGAATTCTAACTTTGCTACTTACTGTCTATAAGATCCCCGAGTCTAAATTTTCTTATCTGTAAAATGGGAAGACCAACACCTACTTCGTGAGTCTGCTGTGAGGATGAGGTAAACAGACAAATAGTGCTCATAGCAGGTGCTATGTAGATGATAGTTCCCTTCCCCATTACTTCAAAGACCGTAAGTGTAGGAATTCCATACTTCAGTACATGGAGGAGGGGAGATTACTTTGTTTTAGTTTGGTTATACACAGGAAAAAAACATACTTCATTGAAGAAGCAAGCACTATCGAGACTCTAGAGGAAACCTCCGCAGGTGATTAGATTCTGATTCTCAGGGAGCTTCCAGGTCTGTAAATTGTAGATAACTAACAGCAATGCAAAACAACTGTTGTCTACAGACATGTTAATTTTATCCTGGCCGCTAGAGGTGCAACTAACTTCCCTCCCCCACTGTGGAATAAGCTAGTTTTCTTGAATTTGCACATTAATTTCAACAGTACTTTACTTCACAGAAATTTGTTACAATGTCCTCTTCTATAATAAATAATTAATCGGTGATTAAATAAAATACTTACCATGTTCATTTTTGCATCTATGAGTCATGATTTTATCCTTTTTTGAAAATTATCTATTAATCACTTATGATTGACAGAAATTTTGTTCCTTAAAGCCATCTCTAAAATGTTTTGTTTAATGACTTTTAATGACTTCAGAAAGTAAATGAGCAATAGAATGATTTGGCAAACAAAAATGCTGATAAGAAATAAACAGCAGGCATGGTTGGCTGATGCCTGTAACCCCAGCACTTTAGGAGACTGAGACAGGAGGAATGCTTGAGGCCACGAGTTCAAGACCAGCCTAGGAAACAGAGTGGGCACTCGTTTCTATAAAAAAGTTTTTAAAAATAGCCAGCCACAGGCATTGGGGTAAAAGGATCACTTGAGTTCAGGAGTTTGTGGCTGTAGTGAGCCATGATCATGCCACAGTACTCCAGTCTGAGCAACAGAGTGAGACCTTGTCTCAAAAAAATAAAATGGGGCTGGGCGTGGTGGCTCACACCTATAATCCCAGCACTTTGGGGGGTCAAGGCAGGTGGATCACTTGAGATCAGGAGTTCGAGACCAGTCTGACCAATATGGTGAAACCCCATCTCTACTAAAAATACAAAATTAGCCAGGCGTAGTGCTGCATGCCTGTAATCCCAGCTATTCAGGAGGCTGGGGTGGGAGAATCGCTTGAACCCAGGAGCCAGAGGTTGCAACGAGCTGAGATTGCACCACTGAACTCCAGCCTGGGCAACAAGAGCAAAACTCCATCTCAAAAAAATAAATAAAATGGGCCAGGCGTAGTGGCTCAGGCCTGTAATCCCAGCACTTTGGGAGGTCAAGGCAGGTGGATCATTTGAGGTCAGGAGTTTGAGACTAGCCTTGCCAACATGGTAAAACCCCATCTCTACTCAAATACAAAAAATATCTGGGTGTGGTGGTGTACTCCTACAATCCCAGCTACTCAGGAGGCTGAGGCAGGAGACTTGCTTGAACCTGGAAAGCAGAGGTTGCACTGAGCCAAGACCATGCTGCTGCATTCCAGCCTGGGCTACAGAGCAAGATGCCGTCTCAAAAAATAAATAAATAAAATATAAATAAATAAACGTACTTGATAAGTATTTAAAGTTGAGTTTCCAACCCACCAACCTCTTCAAATTCACTCTTTAAAACATGAAAGCAAAGTGCCCCTTCAGTGACTTCTCTAGCGGGAAAGGGTTCTAAAGGCAATGCCCACTCTCCTTCAGGTCTTCTCACGGCTCCTTTTTCTTATCCAGATCTCAGCTAATGCAGAGCAGCCTGGCTGACCCCACTTCATCCTATCTTAGTGTTTTTTCTCCATTATTACCATCCAAAAGTATCTTGTGCATGTAGCATTTGTAGACATGCTTGTCTGTCTTCCCTCTCTAGGACATAAATGAAAGGAGGTTGTTTTAGTCATTCCTGTGCAGCAGTGCCTTCGACAATACCTAGAACGTTACATGCTCAAAAATACTGTTGAGTGGTAAATGGGTGGATGGGTGGGTACAACCGCTCTGGGTAGAAACAGACACTTCTTCATGCCTAGGGTTTGAGGCACCTCCTCTAGGTGGAGTAGTAGAACTGAGGCAAGCTCTTGACGGAGGGCTAAGAATTGTTTTGTCCTTAAATGTCCAGTGAAGAGATCCAATAAGTATGCTAGGAGGTCACTAACCTCTCACAGCAAAATTTTTCACAAGAAAGTTGCCTGATATCTCCTAATTCACCAAATTTTATCACCAAATTTTGCCAGTGTAACCTCCTGAACGTCTCTTGAATTTATCCTGTCTCATGTCTACCAGCCAGTCCAGGTTAGTCATCTTGTGTTGCCTGGGGTCTATAGACCCATTTCTTTCCCCATCACCTACCTCTCCTCCCGCTCATCAAATCTTCGCCTAGAATCCATTCAACCAATATTTATGCTAAATATGTGCCAGGTACTCTTCTAGGTGCTGGCAATACCGCAATGAACAAGACACACAGGATTCCAGGCTCTCTAGGAGCTTTCATTCTACTGGGGAAGGGGGGGGCAGATTTGCACAGCAGACCAAGAACTGACTAGGGTCTTCCCTGATTGAGATAAGCGGTCTGGGACAGAACCTAGTTTTTCCAGGAGGCAGGGATGGGGAGAACATTAATGAGGACGGTCAGGAAAAGCTCTCCAAAAATGTGACGTCCAATTGCTGTACAATGTAGCCAGCCATGGGAATGTCTAGGTTGAGGGCAGAGGGAGGATTCTAAATTGGGAATGTGATGAGCAAGGCAGAGAATGGGAGAAAATGAGGACAGAAAACAGGCAAAAGCCAGAAACCAAAGAGGCAGAGAGGATGAATTTTATTCTTTGAACAAAAGGCAATACATCAGCTCTGAAATTCTCACTCTTTTTTTTTTTTTTGAGGAGTCTCGCTCTGTCACCCAGGCTGCAGTGCAATGCTGCAATCTTGGCTCACTGCAACCTCTGTATCCTGGGTTCAAGTGATTCTCTTGCCTCGGCTTCCTGAGTAGCTGGGATTACAGGCTTGAGCCACCACGCCCAGCTAATTTTTATATATTTTAATAGAGACAAGGTTTTGCCATGTTGGCCAGGCTGGTCTCAAACTCCTGAACTCAAGCAATCTGCCTGCCTTGGCCTCCCAAAGTGCTGGGATTACAGGCGTCAGACACCGCGCCCGGCCCGTCACTCTTTTTCTAAACATCCCTTCCCGTCAAATATTAGGTTTTCCCATTTTACCTCCTGCCAATTATCTCTAAGGTTACAGCTCATCCTTCATTACCAGGAAACAGACTGTGAACAGATACCAGTCCTCTTGCCAAACATCCACCTCTGCTTCTCAGCTGGCCACACTGTCACCCGGGAGGATGCACTATACACACACCCACTTACATACACAAAAGTGGGAGCTCAGCACCTGCGAACACGGTAAACTCAACTCTTCTGAGTGGTTTACCATGATGTTCACCTGGAATTAACACTCCTCTCCGGAACACAAGGGCTACTATGTGTTCTGTAAGGAATGACCAGGAGCACAGCTTTCACCAGGGCCAAGACTTCCGTCAGGTGTCTCTAGGACACAGTTGTTCCTCTTCATTTCCACTGCCATCACATTAATTGAGACTCATCACTTCAGTTCTGAATTCCGAAATACTCTCCAAGAATGCCTTCCTATTACTGCTTTGATTCCACGGTTCTCCAACTCCAGCACACATCAGACACCCTGGGATTCCCCTCTCAGGCTGCTCTCTTCCTAAAACAGATGCTCATCATTCTACCTCCCTAGATTAAAAACCTAAAGTAGCTACTCACACCTACCCCGTGAAGTGGAAATCGGCTCCCCAGACCTGTCCAACCAGGCTGGAATGATGAGCAAGGCTGTTTTAAAATGGTCTAGTATTTTGCAAGAGGCTCATCAGCACAGCATCCCCCTCAAGTATGGCATGATGTAATTAATGAAAACAGTCGGCCGGGCAAGGTGGCTCAAGCCTGTAATCACAGCACTTTGGGAGGCCGAGGCGGGTGGATCACAAGGTCAACAGATCAAGACCATCCTGGTCAACATGGTGAAACCCCGTCTCTACTAAAAATTACAAAAAATTAGCTGGGCACGGTGGCGCGTGCCTGTAATCCCAGCTACTTAGGAGGCTGAGGCAGGAGAATTGCCTGAACCCAGGGGGCAGAGGTTGCGGTGAGCCGAGATCGCGCCATTGCACTCCAGCCAGGGTAACAAGAGCGAAACTCCATCTCAAAAAAAAAAAAAAAGAAAAAGAAAAAGAAAACAGTCCTAGACTGGAAATCAGAAGTCAGCCAAGTCATTCTCTAGCCTTGTGACCTTCACCATGCCCCTTAACGTCCCTGAGTCCCTAGCCTCACCTTCAAAGTGCTCTCATTTCACAATGTCTGCAAGACAAGCCAAGGAATGGTTACTATGAGTGTGTTTTATGAACTTTCAAGCCCTATTCAAGTTAGCAACCATGTCTAATTCTCAAAAAACTGGTGCTCAGCCCACAGAGTCACCTTCCTGATCTGCTGGGGACATGCCCGGGTACCTTCCATAATATATATCATCAGTGAGGTGACAACTCCTCGTGTCTCTAAAAGATTAATTTAAGGCAGGATGAGTTTTTTTGTCTATTTTAAAATATATACATTCAAAATGAATACATAACTTACAAAAATTTGGAACTATGCTAGTATCATTATCACTTACATTCCAATTCTTCCTTTATTAGTTACTTAATACCCTTGGTTACAAAAAAAACTACACAATAAATGAGCATGTGGGCTCTGGAATCAGAACCTTTTATTCATTTCCTAACTCCCTTTTACCTCAAGAG